ACGGAGTGGTGTGGAGCCCTTTTCACCAAAATCAAATTGCAACGTACGGAAAGAACCACATCAAGGTGCGCCACCACTCACAGTCAGATGTGTTGTGTCGTCAAAGTTAATCTGATGTATCACAAATGCGCATCCCAAGGGAATTTGAGGTGCTGTGCACGCTCCCAACAGTCTCGACGTCTCCTTGAGCTGTGCTCGAAATACTGTATTCCAGTTGCCACCGAGAGGTCTGGCCTGAGAGGGCACTCACCTTCTGGACGACTGGACATGTCGCCCATCACATGCGCACGGGCAATGGTGTCCAATCCTTCGTCCAACTCTTCCAATACGAACGGGAGTATGAATGTGTTGCCAAGAACAACGAGGGGCCATGAAGAGCGGCAGCATCATCGGCAAAACCCACCTCTTCTTGAACGGTGCATATTCGTTACACAATACTTGCTCGCGCACGAAGCCAGCAGGGCTCTGGGCAGCATGGGCATTCCCCTACCAGCATATTCCCCAATTGAACCTTGCTCAATACTTTGAAGTTGCACCAACTAAAGAAGGTAATTGTACGTCATGCAGTTTTGGAAGCTGATTGTGAGCAAGAGCACAAGAGCGTTGGCTGCCCAGATGGACGCTGGACAATATGGAAAATTCACAGCGCACACCATCTTGAGTGCGTGCTTTCTGCCATCTGGTCTGGTGCTCACTGGTGAGGAGCCATCAGTAAATTCTGTGGCCACAATGGTCTACTCTTCCGTCGCACTGCAGCAAAGTGTCCTGGAATTGGCGCGTATCCGCGGGCTAAACACGGCACAGTGACATTCCACGTGCAACTGCAGGAAGGACATCGACTGCGCTCCGAAGTCTGATGTCAAATGTGCAGCAACAGCGAAAAAAGATTTGACCAACTGCGTCATCGCAAAAGCATACGGACGCATCTGTTCGTAGAATTATCTTACTGGGATGACTCGGCAGGTCGTCTATCATGGCAGTAAACGACGAGGCAACAAGGACTGCCCTACATGAAGGCGGCTTGAAAACGAAAGGTCGCATGAGAATAAGACTGAGCACGGGGTTCGACTTTCTCCAGGCACTCCTGAAGGTGAAATCCTTGTCTGGAAAAACGCAAAATGCGTGAGGTCCGTGCAAGCGCACGGCAAGGGGCCAGTTGTTCACCTACCAGATGGAACAAAGTCCCATGGGGGTTCGCGAGTTCTGCGTCTGAGTCGTGACAGGAAGACACTGGCCAGCGGAGGCGCCGATGGGTGCATTGCGATATGGGATGTGTCAATGGGCGACCTGGGGGAAGCACTGCAGAGGGTTCCAATCGTGGAGAGTCACAACGTTGGGAAGCACCCCCCTCCAGCTGTCCGTGGTCTCGATTGGAAAGTCGGAGAACGACCAGATGCTTTTGTTATCGGTAGGAGCTATCCCCCTTCCTGCCATGAGCCGCCTGATTCTGATGGCTCTCACATCGACAGTGACCTGCATAAGATCTGGCACCTGATCCGAGTGATATGGTCAAAGCTGGTGGCGATTCTTCAGACATGCGCGCACGTTGCCAGAGCAACTGTCAGAGCCCGTGGTCGATACAATGTGACAACAAACTCCGCACCCCGCTTCCCATGCAAGGGCCATGCTCCCTCGTTCTTTGTTTCACTTGCATTTTCTCATCTGTCCATATGTATAACCGCGTGCTTTCTTCCCCAGGGACAAATGAATGCGATATTTGGGAAATCGATGGAACTCCCCGCATTCTCATGTTTGGCCATCGAGCGGACCTGTATGGCATTGCCATGAATCCCCACTATCCACACGTCTTTGCCACCATCTGCGAATCAGAGAATGTCGCCATTTGGAATGCCAATTCTCACAAGGTAAATCCCCAAATATGGAAAAGCATCCACCCATCTTGACCATGGACTGATAGGACGTCACAGTCCGCACCTAGCTGGGGAGGCCCGAACGTGCAACGTACGAATTGCTTGCTCCTCAAAGATTTCTCTTCCTTGTACCTGAAGACCACACCAACTTTTTGCCATCACAGTTTTGTTCCCCGTTGACAGGCCATTCGCGTCCTGGCTGTCGGAATGAAGGCAAGGGCAGGTGCCTTCTCTCCAAACGGGCAGCATCTGGCAGTGGGAATGATGAACGGTGGCTTCAAGGTGTATGCTTTCCATCCCAGCATCAAACAACTCACGTGGAGAAAACCAGCCAACTCTGCCATCGTTGACATGGCATACAGCCCCAACGGCCAGCGCCTTGCAGTTGCTTCGCACGATTGTTATGTGGACATCTTCTCCGTTGACAACAAGTACACAAGGGTGTGCAGATGTGCTGGGCATTCTTCCACCATCACCCACCTGGACTGGGCCATGGATGGCTCAGCGATCCAGACAAATGACCAAGCCTATGAGGTGGGTTGATACTGATGAATCCAGTGCGCTCAGCAGGGAGATGCTTACAAAGATAAGCTCAGGAGTGGGCGTCACCTCTGCAAAAAAGAAGGCATCACATCAGATCTGCAGCTTGTTTGGTGGGGAAGGAGGGATTGTGGCTCACATGGGTGCAGATCATAAACCCAAAGAAATTTATCACGAGTACATTGTTGCAGTACCTGGCCGGACGCAGTGTGCCTTCTGGAGCGACATTCACAAATGCAATTCTGGCATCAGCTCAAGCTGTGCCTTTTGTTAAAAACGGCAACACGACATTCAATCACACCCTGCCTGTTGCCATGGCTCAGATGTTGTACTTTGACACCAAGACCGGTGGACAGCTAAGGAAGAACCAGAGGGATACAGACTGGGCAACTTGGTCATGCGTGCTGGGGTTCCCTGTGATGGGGATTTGGCCAAAAGATTCTGATGGGACTGATGTCAATGCTGCACACCGTTCGCCATCGCGGCAGCACTTGGTTACCGCTGACGACTCTGGGCAGGTAAAGAGCAACTCATTGCTGTGCACATGGCATTAGCCACATGAAGTGTGCATGCCTGTTCCACAGTCTTGCACACTCTCAGCCCACAATCGCCAGTGCACAACACAAGTACCAACACACCCAAATCTTGGCCCACTGGTTGCGCTCAAGGTCATCGTAACCTCCTTTGTTGGGCACTTCCACACATGTGACTTCTGCTTGCACATCTTCTAGTTTTGTGTCTGCCTGTGAATTCTCACCCCAGCAGGAACAACTATGTTTTTCCCTTCAGGGGCACGGCTTGCTATGCCCAGCGTACCACATGAAACTGGACAGGCAAAAACCCAAGCCAAGGTATATAGGTGAAGATCCTACAATACAGCACCAACTGCTGCGCATCAAAATTGCACCCTGCAAGGTCTAATTCACCCTCTGTGTAACCACTCCAAATTCCATGATCAGCCCGGTGTGATCTTGATGCCTACATATACAAATACACCATGGCTACAACAAAGGTGTCAGCTACTGGTCTGACTTTGCCACGATACATTTTGGTAACTGTCAGCTACATACAGCATACGCAACATTGTGCTTGGCTGCAGGTGAGATTGATGAACTTTCCCTGCGTGGTAAAACATGCGCCCAGCTGGACATACAAGGGGCACAGTTCTCATGTGATGAATGTTCGGTGGTCAGCAGATGGAAAGCTGGTAGTGAGTGTTGGTGGAAAGGATCGCTCGATATTCCAGTGGGTGGTGGCCAAACCAGAAAAGAAGTGCATTGTCAGAGAAGTGGAAATGGAGCCAAAGGACGATCTTGGGATCATCTGGGCTTAAGACACAAAGGTACATGCTGGCTGCCACCATGGCAGCCAGAGATACAGCATTAGGTTCCGGTGCGAATTTGTAGATTCAGGGTGATGTTGGGGTAGATCATCAGGCCAGGAAGGCACAATGAGGCATTGGGAGCAAAAGGCATTCGAACTTGGCACGGCATCACAAGCAAGGCATACATTCAGGTAATCCGCATGCATTGTAGATACATCATACATCAGCATGGAATCTCCCGCAAATACAACCTGTTATGGAAGCAGCAGTCTCTCAACCACCTAAGCTGTGGCCCAACAAACGCGAAATACAGCCCCTTCTGTACACATACATTTTCGGACACTCAATGAATCTTGGGAATCTTTGGTTGGGGTGCCAAACCTTGCAGCCATGCACAACACAATACCTAACTTATCTTATAAGGCAGACACAATCGATAAAGTATGCTGCTGATGTATGGCAACGAAAATCTTGCAAAAAACGACTTCCGTTGAAAACATCACCAAAGGCACAATTTCCAGGCCAACAGCACAATTTCAGGGCCAAAATCTACGTATCCCACATCCTGTCCATATGTTTCCCCATATGCGGTGACATCCAAATGACAGCAGAGCAACAAGGCAAGGAACTACTTGAGTTTGGACAGGAGACTGTTCAATAATGATGTGGCATATCCAGCACATCAATAGGGCCATTTACAGGAAAGTTTCAGGCCAGGACTGAACTGAGTGTACAGATACCTAAATCACAGCAACAAGCACAAAGTGTCTAGAGACAGTTGCGCACTCCACAAACATCCTGGGCTGAGAGATGAAGTTCACCAACGCCCATTCAAACTGGCAATTGGGCGATGCCAAGCATGTTTTGCAGCACAGTTGAATTGTTTGCCAGCTCAGGGCATGTAGATTAGGCTGGCTGGGGAACATTCACACAAACATCCAAGCCACATGGTGCTTCAAATGGATCTGATGATAAGCAAAACTTGTGTAGTGTTTTGCAGTCTACTGCAAGCCACTGCCACCTGGCCAACAGGAACAGTGGCCTAAAGCTCATGTGCACCAACACAGGAAATGCAACCACAGCTGTCAACAGAATTCGCTTGTGAACAGGATGTGCTATCAACATTCATTCATATCCAACCCTTCAAACTCGATCTGCTGCGCCACTTGATGTGCTGAAGATCTGTGTGAGAATCCCACCTGAGAAAGGAGTGACACCAAACTTGTAACAGTACTCTCCACCTTGATGATGACATAGTTGGCTGTTCAGGCACCAGTTTCAGCTGTGCAGGACTCAGGTAAAAAGACTCTGATATGCAAGGAGCAGGTCCTGTGCACATGCGCACACACAGTGCGATTTGTCAACCATGGTTATGCATCAGGGCCAATAACTTCTTAAGCACTGATCAGGTGCAGGATAAGTATAATGCAATTGGGTGACTCATGCCCAACATCTATACATGAAGCCGCATTGGAGTGCAATGTTCTGCAAAGACAGTTTGTTCGCCACAACACGAACTTGCTTGCCAAGATCCCACCGGACAGGAGTGGGTAAGCTGGCTTTTAAAGGCACAGGACGTAACTACAAATGCACAAAGGTTACCTGCAAGGCACCACAACAGCCCCAGAAGTCCAAGTCTTTGTGATGCTTTCAATCTCAACTCCTGATATCTCAAAGAAGTCTCCGCAGCGGCAAGGATATGAAAATTCACGTTGACCTGGCAACAAAGCATCAGGAAAATAAGTTTGCTTTGTACTGTAGATCATGGAGGATAGCGCTCCCCCCCGCATTCTACAACAGGGCTGATGCCAGGAATGCAGGGGGTGCTATGTTGCACGCCCCCCGTGTTCCGCATCAGGTCGCTGACTCAGAGTGGCCCCCGCGTTATCACGCTGGCCAGCATACTGGCAGCAAAGCGTACCAACGCCCCACCAACTCAGTGCATAACGCAAGGCACCATTCACCGCTGCAACCCAAACCGGCACCAAGAAAAGTGACAAGACGCCACAGGTCGCTGCATTATGCCACGCCACCCCTGTTGTCAGATTGATTGGCAACATGGCCCAACTGGCACCTGGCCAATGCAGCATATTACACAACATTACATAAATTGCCAACCACAGCGCCAACCAATAACAGCTATTGGGACGTTGCATTGCACTGGAGATCCCAACGACCTTGGTTTGAGTGATGGTAGAGCTGGACACTGAGAATCTTGAGGACATGGTTTTTGATTGAAGGAGGAATGTCATGGCAATGTTTGGTCACAGTGGACTTGATGACTTGGGGTGATAGCACATGCAATGAGATGCAAGAGTGTGTGAAAATGCTTTTGCAATGTGGTTGTACGTGATGTTGAAGTGCATAGTGCCCCTCGCTCTATCTTGCGTACCCCCCGAGGACCGCAACACCGGCCTTGTTTGATAACGCAGAGCGTTATCTAAAGGCCCCTGCACTATTCAACACCCCCCACGGTATCCTTCGTGATCTACAGTGCTACCATTGTCCAGGATTAATTGTCCTCTATGACTTTTGCCACCTACTTCTCCATCATTGAAGCTTCAGATTTCAATGAAACCTCTTCCAAAGTTGTGCCTATGAGTTTGGAGTATACATTCAATCAAGTTACTTAGTTTAAGTATTGAAGATTTGGCAGTACTTTGTTATGACCAAAATCTACATTTTGCCCACACTCAAAGGGGTTGTGCTTATTCTTGAACATTGGTGGCTCCGGGTTTTGGGCCCAATCTTTCAAAATTGAATTCTTTCTGTGATTTTGAGGTTACTCTTGCAATGAAATTTGACTCTCAAATAGAGGACAATCAATTCCAGCAAAGGAAATAAGAGGAAACATGTTAGCACAGTTGCAAATGAAAACAGTCTGTAGCAAATGCTCCACCTGCCCTTATGGTAATTGGTACCATTTGAGGGCAATAATTCTACCATGTGCTAAAACTGAATAGGACCAACAGGGTTAGTGGTGGCCATTCCACGCCATAAGTAGTGGTGCCTGGTTACAGAGCTGAAATGGACTGCAACAAACAGCTTTAGCCCACTAAAGTGTTGCATGGTATGCATCATACTGTGGCTGCACACTGATTGTATGCGTTTCCAACAGGGACTGGATAGGCTGATCCGCTCATCGCCACTGGCACCTTTCTCCAACAACTTAGGTCACCAGCTCACATAGACAGTTGGCTTCTTTTCACAGCCCCAATCTGCGAATTCTGCTGGCATGTTAGATTGACGTTGTGGAGTCAGCACGGGTGCAATAATTTGCATGGATATTTCCACTCTGAATGCTTTGAAGCTGTATCAGTAGTGCTCTGTCGCTCTCCAGTACATCAGTTCCAAAGATGGAAACACAACCATCAGGCTAGCAAACTCTTTTTTTTGTACAGCACGATGCAAGAGGAATGAACGCGTTGCAGCATGTAGGAGATGCCATCATCTATTGGCAGCATTATTATGTCAGGCCTGACAAATTCAAATGCCTCCAAGTGCCGTCCGCCTTGCCCCCCAGGCAGTCACAGTGCGGATTGTGCTGCTGGTTCTGAAATTACAGAAGCTTGCCCATGATCCCATCTGTCATGGGGCAGTGTGCTTGTCAACACACACACTGCAGGACAGCTTTGACCACAGGAACCCTCGGTCCCGTGATGGTTCACTCCTCTGAAGCCAGAAAGCCTTCGAACGCCAATTGTCGCCCAGAACGACCCGATTTTAGGTTGACGTTACGCAAGACTATGCGGGACGATTACAGGGACATGTGGCGCAGCGATTCAAGGGCACGCACCGTCCTCGCCCTCATCAACGTCCATTGCCGCCAGTGGCAGCTCATCGTGCCAAGTCACAGCGCAGGCCGCTTCCGACGATCGCTGCCGCCTGTCGTACTCCATGCGCTTTTGGGGAACTCCCAGGGTCTGCGGGGCACATACCCACCAACGTGAACAACACTACGATCACCTATGCCGCAGCCCGTCTCCCCTCTTCCGCGCAGCTTCAACGAGCATCGGCAGCGCCCAAGCCGACGCCGCCAATGGCTGCGATTCGGCTGCGTGCCATCACCCACTTGCAGCATTCGGGTTCCGATCCTCCCGGCCTTTCGCGCGCTGCGGCAGGGTACGTGACAGCATACGCAGGGTGCGCTTGCCCACCTCCCAGGCCTCCTGCACCCTGCGAAACGAGCCGGCGTCGCGGCCGCCACCCATCGCCGCCTTGTCCGGGTGGCTCGCCAGGGCTTTGGCGCGATAAGCCGCCCGGATTTCCTCCGCAGTGGCGGAAGGCGCCACATCAAGCACGTCGTACAGCGACGCCCCCTCCGAAGCCGCCATGCCCGCCAAGGACCAGGGCGCGTCTGTTCCGAGTTGGCTTCGGCGGCCACTCCTCCGCAGGCGCCAAAGAACGCAGCCGTGTTGGCGATGCCTCACAATGACCGACATCTTGGTGAGTTGACCGCTCATGATGAAGGGGGCGACACCGTGATGGTTGTGCTGCTACGCTCGTGGTGCCATATGACACCACGTGAATCTTGGTACGCTTTTAGTCAAGTCGACGGCCACAAGAAAAGAGTCGCGGAGGAGACCTGTGACGCTAAAAAGACAGAAGCCAGCGTTGTAACAGAAGCCCAATGTCGCGTTGTAACGACGAGTTTTTCCCCCTTAAGTACTGGCTTGGCCCCTCACGTCGCGCTTGTCCCTTTTGTAATTCACAACAGGTGGGGGAGTTCAGCATCCGGGTCCTCTGCGAAGAATGCAGAACGTTGAACATTGAAAGGGCTGTTTACACGATGCTGCTCTGTGTATGCAGGAAGTTCTGTGCAGAAATTGCTTCTCACGTGTCGGCCAAGGAGAAGAAGGACATTGTCGATTGGGCTGTTCAGGTGCGGGAAAACAGGCACTTAAAGGCTATATTAACAAATGGTAATGTGGGTAGAATGTGACAGAGGCTCAGGAACCACCTGGTCAACATTTGCATCACAAGTACGCCCTTCGCAATGGCTGAATGCTCTGTTTTGAGTGCGTTTGGTCACCGCTTGCTTACTTTGTCGCCTTGACACTTTGGACTGAAAGTACGAATTGTGTGTTTTGCCACAGCCTGGGGTTCTTGTCGCAAACTGCAAGCCACGCCTCAGGACACTTGACGATGGGTAGACAGCTGGAATGGTGGCAAAGGTGTATAACGGATATGAAAAACGATGGAACCCCAAGTATTTAACAATGGGCCTGCGTTTCTTGCCAATTCAGGTAAAGATTTTTGTTTTTGTCAAGGGAATATCTGCTGCCTCCTTTGTGACAAGCTATTTATAGTGAAACAAGCACCAACACAGGGGGTTGGGTGTGGGGAGGTAAACAGCATTCATCAGCCGTTTGAAACCCCAATTCCAAGCATCTGACCAAATGCAATGCTCTAAGATGCCATATAGGTGCTTCGTTTTACCTTCGAAAGGAAGCAATTTTGTCTTGGGACTTCTGCATTTAGCGCTGTTGTGAACAGATTGTTGAGGTGTTCGCCTTGCCAAGCACTGCAGTATCATGGTGGGCTGCTTCAACAATTGAATCTTGATTGAGACCTGACCATATTTGAAATGTGTGCCATGACAAGTGTGTTTTTCTTCACATTGCAAACCATGGATACATCCAGTCTACCCAAAGCAAATACGCCTGTTGAACCCAGGTATTGAAGCATGTCCATAACATAGCATCAACATGCAGCAACCACGTCAGAAGGGTGGCATCATCCCTCGCTCACAAAACTTCACAAAACCTGCAGGATTGACGGGTCTCGTGCCAACAAGATCAGTGGCGTTGTTGTGAGCGAGCATTCCATCAAGGTCCTCCCTGCGGTTGATCAAAACCCCAGCCACAATCTGGCCCTGTGGCGTTGACTTTGGTAGCCCACCACCCACAACCCCCAATTCAGTGGCAGCAATTGCTGCGTCAGTTGCGGTGCAAACACTGCTGCGAGAGGACCGCTGATTCTTGCAAGTCGCCACACAACGACAGGGCACACGGCACTTTTGCATGGACAGTGATCGCTCCTGCCCAATCACCCACGTGCGTTCACCACACTTCAATTTGCATGGTGACATGTTCTGGACTTAATCGCAACAAGTTATTTGTCGGGCATCAAGAGAACCTCCAGATCTTTGACGTTGGCCACATGGAACTTGTAGAATCCTGCAATTAAACAGCAAACTGATGCGTCGCAGGAACCAGGCTTGACGTTCTATGACTTGCAACGTTGTTGCAAGTGTTGCAACTGTGTTGCGGGTGATGGAGATGGCGGAGGACTGATCACTGTACTCGACTTTCATCGTGTCCCAACCAGACGTAAAAACGTTAAATAACCATAAAAATGGTCCCTTGCGCAATTTACGCTTTTGCGTGTAAAAATACGACAGCGTTTGTCCATGCTTGTGTCGTCACCTTGTCGTCATGCATGGCCAACCTTCGCCTGACAGTTATTCAGACAAACTCGTTGAATGATGGAGCAAATTTTCCCTGCCTGTATACAGTGATTACGTAATCAAATTTGCTGATCGCCTAAACATCACCCCGGACGGACACAGCTGCTGCTGGAGGTGCCGTCGCCAGGGCCCACATCTGGACAAGTCCACAGGACACACAGCGTACGGATTGTATGACGGGGTATGCAGATCCGTTTGCCGAAGGGCGACAAGTGCTGTTTAGTAATCAGTTCCGTCCACAGCGAGCTGCATGTGGGCACACGGCGGAACCCGCGCTCGTGGTTTCGAACAGCAGCAGGACGACCGGCTGATACGGTGTGTGCAACGGCCGACAAATAGCACACACTGGTTGGCATGACGCCCGTGCCCACACCGTCCAGAAGGAACCAGGGCTGCAGGTGGGAACCGCATGACGGTTGTGGCATTTGCAGTCAATGAAGCATGTCCAACAACGCGCACGCAGCATGAGCAATCGCTGTAGAATTCAGTTTTGCTGTGCTAGCCATGAGAATACTGTCAGGTCACAATTAGCGCCCTGCTGGCAGAACTATCGGCATCCACAAGTCCACTCCTCACATTTGGGTGTGTGAACGACACCACTGTCACTCTATAGTACAACATATGCCAGGGACACCAAACGGTGGGGCGTCGGTTTGATCAAAGGGTAAAGATCAGCCATCTTCTCAGCGGACAACATTCGGCAGGTGCTCTGGTGTAAAAATTCCAATTCGAGCGCTGTGCAGTTCAGAGGCCTGGCAATGCCACAACAAAGTGCCAGGAAACCTTCGTGTTGAGGACTCCTCTCTGCTCTGTGGCACCCACACGTTACTATACAACTCAACAAGAACAATTCATTTCGTTACAAAAGACACGATCCTCCTCTGCACAGAGGTATTACTCTTCTTCCATCTGACGAGTTATATTATGTTCCATGTTCTCTATGCCCAACCGTTTCAGCCACCACATTATCCATGGAACATCAAAATCTGCACGGAAACAATCGTTTCAGAACAACTAACCTTTGATCCTCATTTTGGATCAAACAACATTTGGATCCAAGACGACACCCTATTTTGACCTTGGCTACTCTCACCATGCTTCCAAATCAAGCTCATCAGCCGGTGGATGGATGTTTCCCAGTCCCCACCAAATTGACAATGAGCTCATCCTGCCCTACTGCAGCGCGTTTGCCATATGTAACACTAAACAATAGCTACAATCCAATAAGCCCTCCCCAACCCCTCTCCATTCAGAAGTCCCCAGTTCCTTGTCCTAGCAACCATCCAAGCCATTCTGATTGGCATGGAACTGCTCGGCTGCACTCAACAACGCGCACAGGCGCGCAACAATGCAGCAGTGCAAGGGGAGGTGTGCATGAAGCCCGGCCCAGCCCCAGCATCCCAAGCCTAAACCCAGGGCAGACGCGGGGCGAAAGAGGGCAAGGCCAAAATGCACACTCGTCAGGACACTAAGGGCATCGAGTTGTGCAACCAGAGCAGCACAGGCACAGTCCTTCTCCTCTTCATTCTGTTGGGACCCCGCTTTCCACCCTGCAGTGTACACTGCATCAGCAGCTTCTGGTGGAGACAGGTCAGTGGATTTACCTGCGGTTGATTCCATGCCTGTCTCCCTCTTTGCCTCCTTGCCTCTCTCAGGCTCAGAAGAAGCAACATTTCCCTGCACAAGGGGAGAGTCTCCGAGTCTGGCAGACTGGTTGTCTGGCAAATGGCACAGTGGCTGGGTACGGCCCTGTTCCATTCCATTGGACCTTTGCACTTGAGCAGGACAGGCTGGCATTGGTGGGTACACCAGATGCTTGGCATTGGTCACAGTCGAAGCTTCCAGTAGTGAGCCTCGTACCCCATCTCTAACCTCCTGCAACTTCAGAGGCTGCATTGTGGAACTGCCCCGATGGCTGGGATCTTGATTCCCAACAGACGGATCAACTTCATTCTGCCCCACTGAGTTAATGAACGAGCCGCTCCCCCGTCCATCCGACACCAAGTCCTGCGGGCTGTCGGACAAGGAATTCGTGAGAGAACAAAGGACAGACACATGCCACGCCCGTACAGTGTCAAGCTCCCCTGGCAGCAGAGCTGCGCCAGCCTGCTTAGGTGGAAATCGGACAACAGTGGCACTGCTCCATTGAAGCTTGGATGCCTGAATTGCACTGTCCCCACCACTGCTGAAGGCATCGCACTTGGCATGTTGGCCATTCCTTTTGTGCCGTTCCCTGGTACCCGCAGCATGCACTGCTGGTTGATCGGACCAATTCCCCTTGCACATGGCCACAAGCAAACGCTCCTGCTCTGACTCTGTGCCACTGGTATGGTGCTGGAGCCTCGAGAGCTGTGGAGCATCATGGATCCAACATCCTCCTTGTGCTGCAGGTCGAATGACATGAGTGCCTCTACAGGCACTTCCAGCAACGTCCAGTCGAAGCAGGGGGTCAGACAGCAGAACTGACACCACCACCTTCTGCAAATCCCACCCTTGGCTGCAACCTGCTGAATACTGTTTCCACACCAACGGCCAGATCGAACCTTCCCTCTCCAAAAGGAAACCCAGCCTGGTAACGAACAAATTTTGGAGGGAAACTCGGTGCCCAGACATTTCCTGAGCCCTTTTTGCTACAGTTGCCGATTTCTGAAGAATCCAAAGCAGTGCCCTGTCCAAGCCCAGCACCCGCAGGCCTTGGCCAGGGCAATGGTACCAAGCTACTCTCACCATGTCTGTGTGCAACAGTTCTCCGGTGGCATCAGTCCAACAGGATACCATCCATTTCGACCTCTTCTTGGTAGCCTTGCTGCTCACCAACGCGTAGCAACAATGTAGCGACTGTGCATGATCCTTTGCCTCTGCTGTTTTGCCACCCCCCGGGTCACAAATGAGTGGAGCTTCTGATGGCAAAACCCCAGCAGGACTGGCATCTGCATTGGGTGAAGATTCCATTCCCTTGCAAGGTTTGAAGTCAGCTGCTGCTAAGGGCGCACTGCTGTCACACTGTTGAGAGAGCACCAAAAGTGGAATGAAAGGTCGTATCGACCCAGTTGTATATCCTGACAACGGTAGAACGTGTTCTCCTTCAGCCTGCAGGCTGACAGGTGAAGCCGCACTTATGTCAAACATTTCTGGCTGGCTTTCTTGCACCTGCATAGAGGCAACCTGGTCAGTTCCATGCATACATCAAGAAAAATACGGGCATCAAAAACTGTGATCGGATTGTGCGCAGTGAAGCATATTGCTCCTGAGCACCCAAAGCAATTGGCAAACAAGCCAACCGCACTGCATCTTTCATGGTTTCACCTGAAATTCTGCTCTTCACACCCACCTTGTTGTAAACAGAAAAGGCAGTAGCTCTGGCTGCAGTGCCAGTGACCTCCTTGAGGGATGAGAGAGACACTAGCTGTATGACCAAGTTGTGCCCTCTGCTTTTGACTTCCGTGAGGGATTTTCTCTGTGTTGCACTGCCTTCATGGGTGTGATAGGCTGCCCTTGTGGCTCCACCATATCGAACCCCAGAGCTGCCAGAAACACGCATTGAAGACACTGCCGGCTGTGTCTTCTCCCTCCCACCCACTTCACTTTCTCTTGAGAAGGCACCTGACCCTTGAGTTTCGATTTGGCAACCAGAATCGATATCAGGGGTGCTCGCTGCACCTGGTGTCCTGGCCTCTGATGAGGATGGCTGGATAGGAGGGTCATGCTTCTTGGTGCAGGGCGCCAAAGCTGAGGCCGCTTCAAGGAGCGCCTGTATGCTGGCCCCTTGGTTGTCAAAAGGGCACACAACATAAACCACTATGGCGGCATTGAAATGATCAGCAAGGCCACCACCAGTGTACCTGCAAAATGAATAGCCGAGGAATCAGGGTCTGTGAAGGATCGATCGATCGTTCAGCTCACACACAACAGCCATTGTTTCGGGAAGCCAGAATTGCAAATCCCATGTGAATTTGCTTTCCGGACAATAAATCTGTTCAGCCCAGGCATTCAAAGTGAGTACACAGACAGCCATCTGCTGTCCACAGAGCATTGCCCCCAATGCTGCCATAAATACCTACCTCAAATCTGGAGGGTCAAGGATTAGAAGCCTCTGCAACTTTGCACAAGATTCCTTCAACCCTTTCCTGAAATCTGCATCCAGGGAGGAAGGACTTTGCTTCGATGTGTCATCGCCTTGTCCACTGCCCCACGGTTCTGCCTGCCTGCTTTTTCTCCCACCCTGATCCATTCCATCAGTGCTGGCAGATTTTACAGCACTGGGGTCCAGAATCTTACTGCCCTCGTCATCTTGAGCAGCTTTATCCACCTGCCTGCCTTGCTGCACACTGTTTTGTGTTTCCAGCAATTGCTGCTCTTTCAGGGCCTGGGCTGCTGGCACCTCTGTGGAAACGCCAGTTTGTTGCGAAGCAAATGCTATCACTTCACCAGCAAGGGAGGCTGGAGACGGGGGCGCAGGCCGATGGCTGCCTAGGTGCGCTGCTTCGTATACTGTGCTCAAATCCTGCAATTAGGGCCAAACTCTTGGTCATGCAAGTCCCAAATCCAGCAGCCACAGCAACATGGCGAAGGGATGCCTGTCATACGCACCTTCAAGAAGAGTTTCAACTGTCCAACCATGCTGTCTGGACATATGGCATAATACACGATTGGCTTGGGTGCAGCGTAGGGTTCAAAGGAAGCCTGCATGAAACCAGCAATATAAGAGAAGGCCGCAAACAGCATGACAACTGGATCGACACCTTACAACTGAGGAGTCCAATGCACTCACTAATTTGGAATCATTGAGATGTGTCAGTTGAAAAGGACCAGATCGTACCTTCTCCCATAGCTTCACTGCGCTAGGGCGCGTTTCCACCCAATCACCCTGTGCATAACCCCAAAAACCTGCTCAGTGTCCTCCTTCAAACAGGGAATGCACCTGGGAATGGACCCAAGCAGCCCCAGAGAACAAATTTCTCAAGCAACCAAACCAGCAGTGACACCGTCTGTCCAATGATGTGCACAACCGTGCACCCACCCAGTATCCAGCAACTGCACCATCATCATTACTCCCCCCTCAGCTAACGCACCTGGTAACCAACCAGCACAGAGGGCTCTGGCATTTGCACAAATGAAATGGCTGGCTTCCGATCCATTATGTTTGCAGATCCTGCATGCAGAGAACACAGGCAACAGCTTGTACAATTTTGACAATATGAGCAGCAGCTACCGGCTAGGAGATGACATGTGATACTTCTGACGCAGCTTCACACACCCAAAGCGGCGGCACAAACATGTCGTGAGATGCGAAGCTGAAGCACAACAACTGGTCTTCACGGAACAATGGGCAAACATCTGGCAGCAGCCAGCCCTATACATTCACATCACACACACACACATATCACACCAAACAACTAAGCATACCACAAGACAAGCAACTAAAGCATACCACTTGCCCACCAACATGCCTAATTCCTTCAATGGTGGAAAGTCGACAGGGAACACAAACTGTGTGAGTAGAGCATCGGTTGACGCATAATGGGGCAGTGTATTGCCAATCAACTGCCAAATGTTGATGAATGACAATCTTGATATGGTCGGGTGCACACTGTGTGTCCATCTTGATTTACATTCTCAATCAATCCTTGCAGGGGAATTTTCCCATGCAAACATACATTGCACATCCACAGGCCGCCATCACTGACTCTTCACACTACCCGCACCATCGCTGGCCCCAACATCAAAGCCAGACAACAGGCATAACCACACCTGCACGCCGAGGACCCTTCCTGTCTACAGCCTCCGCTTCTGAAAACGCTTCCATGTACGCCAGCGCGTAATGCTTCGCCTGTGGGTGCGAGCATTGGCGCAGAGTTTGGGACTCCGCACTCTTTGAACCTCCAACCGATGCATCCACATATGGGCAGCTCGTCTGCTCCTCTGCAAATTTAATAGAGGAGTCAAGGTTCAGGTCCACGATGCAGTTGGCCTGCTGGATAAGCAATTCCAGCACTGCCCTATCCTGCCAGCAGCTGGTGAGAGGGGCATAGGACTTCCACCGGGCCCTGACGTCCTCCTGGGACTTGCAAGGCGAGGCGGGCTCCACCCCGGATGCGCCATCTCCGCAGCGATGGCCGCCCTCAAGCGCCTGTGTCTTGGCCCGTTTGGCCCTGGGCTCGACACGCCGCGCTGACTTTCTCTTCGATCCGACTTGCCCCCTGGTGGCCGGGCGTTTTCTCCCGGTGTCGTACTCGGCGCAGGGCTGCTCCACGCGCAGTCTCACGGTCGAAAACTCGGGTGCAACCAGCCCGGGCTTGCGATTATCCGTTGCCATTGGCTCGACCAGGCCGTCCGCTCCCCATCCCTGTCCACCGTTCCGCACACAGCACCGCGCTGAGCCTCGAGATCCCCCAATAACGACGGCGTGGTGTCCTCTGCCTCTCGTACACTCACTCTCCAATTCAGTACACGCCGCCTCGGTCCTGCCCCCCGGGCCGGGACGGCAGGCGCCAGGGAGCGACGCGGGCAGCCAGGCCGCAGTAGGTTCTCCAGGGGCTCGGGGATTGCTACCGGGATGGATACGGTCACTTCCGACGGATTGTGCCGCGTGTGAAGCGCGGCCTCGGGTGCCTGGTCTGGTCGGCCTGCCGGCGCCGGGGATAGGAACCACGGCGGGTTCAGCCTTACTAAGCACCTCGGGAAGGCGGACGGCGTCCCGTTAAATGCAGCCCGCCATATCTCTACATTCAGCGATACCAACCGCCCAAGGGCCTTTGCTCGCAAAAGCGCGCAGCTGGGCACGTAGCACCGTCTGCAAGCTTTGCCGCGCAGTCCGCGTCCAGATCTTCCCGCCTGGGGCCCAGTTTCTTTCCCGTTGCGTGTTTCTGTTTGATCGAAACTGGCGCTTGTCCTAAAATCTTCCCTGCCGATCGGTCACGGAAGGATCGTGATCTCTTCTTGCACCTTCAAAGGTGAGCCCATTATGGCACCGGAGGTCAGCCGCGTTGGGCTCCATGCTTTGTTTACGGAGGGATGCCTTGGTCCACGATCACCGCCCCCCGTTGTGCCTTTCGTGTGTCTCCGGGGCGCCATTAACCGATGGGGGAGCGCCGATCCAATCAAAGCCCAATCGCTAATGTGACTGGCGGAGCGCATCCCCGTGAATGCGCTATCGCCACGTGGGTAGGGTTGGCACACCACCCTGGGCTGCGCGGCTGGGGCACCACGACTCGTCTCAGTGGCTCGCGACGCGAGCATAGGCCACCGGCCGCAGCAAGGCCGTATCACTATATGCAGAGATACGGCACGCTGGCCACCGCAGGCGACAATTAACGGGACGCCTCGAGTGGGGAACACTTGGCGAGTTCTTCTCATGTAGGGTGGCTACCCATTCTTTAGGATAGGGCGCGACGGCGGGGGGGTGGGTTGGGTTGGGGTGGGGTGGAGGGTGGAAACGCAGCAGCACCTATGAACGTAGTATAATGGCTTACTTGAACACAAGGTTATTTCACCATCCAAGCCACGCTCGTTGTCATGCAATCTTATAGAGCAAGGCAAGGAGGAAGCAGTCAAGCTTCGTGTTTTGCACGGGCAAAGGGGTGTCCATATTTTGCTCATTGAAATGCAGTGTACACAAACCGTTTACCAAAAAAAAATGAATTCCACCGAATCTCAGTTGGCTAGATTCCTAATTTTTAAGGCACTTTAATGGCTGTGCAACACACACTTCCAATAAGGCCAAATGGCCCCATGAAGTTGCACGCATCCAGAAATAAACTCTATAACAACCCCGGCCATAGATGCTTTTGGGAAACAAGTGGCGGTCATATCCAGGCCATCGACCCCCATGACAAATGGCGCTAGAGGGAGGTATGGCAACAAGTCGAGCTGTTTGCTGCTGATCAACGGCGTTTTGGGGCATCCACCTTTGTCGATTTTATGTCAACTAGATAATCTTCTGCATCACAGGTCTGGAGACGCCCCCCCCCCCCAAAAAAAAAAATCGTTGCTAAGCATCCAATTTCGACTTCCCTAACTGGGTTACATAAATGCAGGGCATTGTGCGGTGAATCGAGCATATCCCACCATGTTCCCCGGCAACTGCATGAACACGAGACCAATGCTGCTACTTCCAAACACCAATTTAATGCAATAAGAATCGACACAATACAAAGAAAATACTGTCTCTGTGGATGGCTGGTCCATGGACTGAGTTCAGGGCAGGGTTGTTGCCACAGTGTTCACTTCATTGTGCATTTTCTTTCTTTTGGTCGTTGCTTGGTGTTGTCTCTGGCATATAGTCTGCACAACAAAGTCGACTGAAGTTCGTTGAACATCGCAAGGTGCAGGAACTGAATGTTGCCAGCTGCCACTTGCAAGAATCGAATGACAGACACCTTCTAGTCTCCCGCAGTGCTTGTGCAGGCAACCACCAGCCAGATCCTAGTTGATACTGGGGCGGATGTGCCCTTTTTTTGAGTTTACAGGGATGGCCCTGGTGTGCTATTGTTTGTGCCCCGTTCTTCATCTGCAACAGCATCATGTCCTGCTGATCAGTGTGCAATCAACAATTGATAGTGTTACCAGCCTGTCCACATCAACGAGCTGAGGACATAACAACTCTCGATACGAATGTGCAACACCATGGGAATTGGCACAAGGTACTGCCAAAGGTGCCAGTAGAGCTGCTGAACGAATCTGATGCTCGATCGAGATTTCTGGACAGGGGCTTGTGCGATTGGCTCGTCTACAAGCCTGTGCCTTCCAGGACGCAGTGCAGGATTACTGCATTCAATTTATTTACCATTTTCACATGGATGAACACTTCACACTCAGCTGGCGTCCCAGTTGATCTTCAACATTTGCCGTCTTGTTAAATCCCCTACTGTGGACTGCACTCCAAGTGCGAATACACGCATAATGCGCTAACGTTTGGCCACATCTAATCACCTAGAACAATAATTGTCTGCAGGGATGCGAGGAGCTTGGGGAGCAATCAATCAAAACTCTACAAATACAGGTACCCTCTTCTATGGACAGCATTAATGCAGCTGAAAGGCACGTCTTCTCCTTTCTCCGACTCAGTTTTGCCTAGCCGACACTTCGTTGCCCACCAGGCACCGCCTCAGACCCAGTGGAAGGTTCAGGTTCCTGGCCCGGGGCTGCATGATCCTCTGTGTGTGGCAAAGGCATCGATGTGGTGGTGGTGACCCCAGATGCACCTTGAGAGCTTGGGCCATCCACTGCCTGTTGTTCCACACCCTGTGAGGGGCGGCCCGGTTGTGCTGATGCCCCTTCCAGAGCACCTGTTTGTGGTTGACCACCTGTCTGATCAGCTCCGGCGGCTCCAGGGGCCGCACCAGCTCCATTACCACGTCTTGGTATGGCAGTGTTTCGAGCCTGACAACAAAACAAAGCATGCTGACAGCATGAGCGTGCACGGGACACCAGCCAATCGCTCCATCAGTGGCTTAATTTCTGCCACGGCTATAAACAAATCGGCCTCCAATAGGGGATGTCTGCAGGCATAGGTATATGCCAATTTACTAATAGCATTCCATCTCTGATAGCTGCCACCTGGCTGCTTTTATTTGGAGGCAACGAACACCTCAAATTCAGAAACTTTGGTTATCACAATCAGTACACATCTTCGTTAGGTCACACATTCTGCAAAGAGAGCTTGCAGTGATGCAGACAATCGCACCTCCCTGGCTGCTTGAGCAGCATTCTTCACTGTGCACGTTGACATGGACAGAACACTTGGACAGCTAACACCCGCCTCTGTGCAAAGGGCACCCACCTGCGGATTTCCTCTGGTCTGGTGTCTGCGCCGAAACACCACCATGAAGACCACAACCAGCACACCCAGCACAAGGGTCTCCACCAATTCTCCCACCTCATCCTTGTCATAAACACCAAACAGGTCCTGGAAGAAATCACCCACAGCGTCGATATCCATGACCTCCGAGTTCCTCCCGCGGCAACCGTCCTCCGATTCCGGTTCCATGTCCTACCGGAAGTAGCAACGTGAGCGTCGCCCGCCCCTGTCCAAACAATAGCAACGCTAATGAATTGAATGTAGGAATGGTGGAACTACATGAAGATCGAAGTTTCATCCTTTGTGCGATGTTAACCGCATGGTCAAAGTTCTCAGGAGCCAGAGAAATATTTATAGCAGAATCAAGAGCTGAATTTAAACGACCCTGACCAGGAATGGGGTAACGTCCACAATTTATGCACAGTCTCAGCCCGTCCGGTGATTCACGGAGGGTTCAAAGATCAGCCTGTCCATCCGCCAACGGAGGGTCACCTCCTGGGAAGTTCACAGCATTGACGTGCTCAAGCCTGTGTTTGGGTAATGGGTGTCAAGTTAGGGAGAATGATCGTGAGCTGGTAAAATGAAAGCCTCAACAAAGCCCCCGGAAGGTCTCCCAGTTTGTTCAACAAAATGAAGGCAAAGAAGAGTTCTATGTTCTGCAAACAGTCCGCCGCCATAGGATTTTGTTAAAGCGAAGTGTAATTCCCGAAGTTTCTCAGGTAGGGCAATTGATGGAGGAGGGAGCCCTGAAGATAAACAGACGTTTATCTCGAAGTTCTCACACAGTTATCCGAGTCCAGATCCCGCTTTGCTTTGGTGACTCCTGCAGGAAACGATGACCATGCAGCCTTCCAAGACAACAAGATCGGTGGTCATTTCAAACTTGTGTGAGGCAACTGTTGCACAATTCCTGCACTGTTTGAAATCGTGGCTTATGCAGTGGGTCTGCAAGGATCAACATATGACTGGCAACCAAGGTTAGTCTCTGCCCCCCTGTGATATCATTTGTTGAAGGGCACAACTGACACCTTGTGATCCATGCTGCTTCATTCACTGGCATGGGGGAGAATATTACCTGCTTTAGTAGACTCAATGCAAGCCGGCAATTTGGCTGCTCAATGCCTGTCCCTGAGAGGTACATCATGGCTAAGTTGTACATTGCCAACAAATGTCCATTCTGGGCTGCTGCTTGGAACAGCTGAAGTGCCTGATGGGGGCTCGTGCCTCGAGACTGAGGCACCCACCCCTTGAGATGCATCACTCCAAAATGAAACTGTGCCTCAGGATGATTCATCTCCGCAGCCTGGACACACAAACGATTTTCAATTCTTGTTGCAAACAAGAAAATGACAGAACCTTTCAAACTGTATTAGCAGCTCCAAGGAGCTGAATGCCCTTGGCAAGGAGCATGACTGCTGCAAGGCAAAGCAGAAGCACTATGGGTCGAATTCCTTCGCACCTTTCTAAAATGCTCAGCAGCGATCTTCAAATCTTTCTTTACACCATACCCCGCCAGGTACATGTACCCCAGGCCATAGTGTCCATTGGGGTGGTTCTTCGCTGCTGCTGACTTGAACCACTTCAATGCTGTACTATTGTCTTTCTCCACCCCAAAACCGTTCGCATACATGTGCCCAAGGTGGCTCATTGCGCCAGCATCGCCAGCATCTGCAGCCTGCCTGCAGCATCACAAGGAATCGAAAATCAGCTGCATAGCATCCATTTGCATCACCCACACTCCCAGAGAGTGAGCGCTCAAATGGGAAAACACAAAACTTGCCCTCAGACTGTGGTTGGCCACATCCATAGCAATACAAAGACACAAAATACTTCACAATATCAACAATGCTCACAGTGTCACGTGGGGCGGTGCCAGTGCGTGTGGGCTCAAAGGGCCGCATGCTACCTGAAGTAATGGAGCGCTTGCTGGTGGTCTCTTTCAAGACCATGTGCTCCATAGTTGAAAAGCTGGCCAAGTGCTGCCTGAGCATCGACGTCCCCCATGTCTGCAGAGTATTGATAGAACTGCAGCCACTGCTGCTCCTTTGCACTTCTCAATCCATGGAGGCTTCGAGCACTGAGCCTAACTTTCTCAACATATGGCAAAGTCCCAGGCATCCTGCCAAGTTCAATAACACGTTCGGCTGCTGCATTGTAGTAAGACACAGCAGTGCGACAGTTTTGAGGGACACCCTGTCCTGACATGTGGCGGTAGCCAAGTGCCATCTGGGATGCAGTGTCATTCCCAAATGCCCCAAAGCTGAAGTGCAGCAGTGCCTGAGGCAAGTCAGACTGCCACACAACACACAGCAGCCAGTGAAACCAGGAGCTGTGATACCCAATATCATGTGTACAGTTGATATGAAGTGGTGGTCAATGCTGGAATCATCAACACAAGCCTCAGTACAAATCAAAAATACCTGCCAATGAGTAGCAGCAGCCGTCTGGCAAAATCAGGCAGGCAATGCGGCAACCTACAAGGCATGTGGCTAAACAATCACAGCAAGAGTGCCAGTACACCAATTGCAAGCACTCAATGAGCCAACAACAATGCTGTCAGCTGAGCAGTGTCGAGTTTGACAGCTCACACGAACACTGCGATTGTGCCAGCGCACTGCCCATCCACAAGTCGAAGCAATCTGCATCAGCCATGACTTCAGGACACAATATACAAAAGCCAGCCAGCCAAAATGTCCCCACCATTGAAAAGCCTATCAGCTGATTCGTAGTTGCTGATGACTCGTCTTGCAACCCATAGCTGAATCGTGTACCCATTTCTCCGTGGGCTTCTGGATCGCCCAATTCTGCAGCTCTTCGGAAAAGGCGCAGTGACAATGGCAGGTTGCATGGCACACCTTGGCCCCTCTGACAGAAATGAAAAGACAACGTGATGCTTCTCTTTCAGACACCTTTGCTGCAAACCAACACTGCAGCCATTCTGCTTGCATGTGCTAAAAACTGGTGAGAGGGAAACATGCAACAAAATGCAAAAAAGTGGCGAGCAACCCCGGGTGGCCCGGAAATCAGTGTTCCATGTCGCTGCTGGGTCGGCAAGTGCAGTCCAAACACAACATTTATCTGCACAGAGGCATGCACACATACCTCTAGAGCTTTGGCCAACTCTCTGAGTGCGCCTCGATGACCTGTGAAGTTGTGAGGTATGGATTCAGGCTCCTTGATGTCACGAATAGTCAGCCCTGCAGCCTCCAGCAGCATACTGGCTGCCAGCTTGTAGTCAGATGCATTTGCCCCCAACCTTGACCTGGGGAAACAGTGGCCACCATTAACAACATGAGGCATGCCTTGCACAGCACAGCACAGAGTCGGACACAATTCACAGACAAGGTAAGCTCGATCATGCACTGCCCAGTGGAGATTGTGGCCTTACTCTACTGCACAGCCCAGCACACTGTGTTGGTGACAAGCCCATTTGCTTCACATGCAATTCAACCTGTCCTGGCCTTCCAGTTGCAAATGAAACTGAAGGCATAGCAGATTCTGGGCACCATGCCACTGTTGTGACTGAATATTTGTCATAAGCTTGCCCTGACACAGGCCAAAAAGCATCTGGTGCCATCATTTGCTGGCCATTGCCAGTTTTTTGTGTTATCAATTGGACAAGCACTGGGAGCCTTACTTCACGTTTAAACCTTGTTCATCCCACAGCTCCACTCATAAGGTCTCTCACACACTTGCTTGGGAAGGGGAGCCCATGGTATGGCCTGTTTCTCGATGCAACACGTCAAGCCCCTCACAAGGCCCCACTAAGTGCCCATAGCATCACTGTACGAAGTTTTCCATTGCGTTTGAGAGCCTTCTGCATAATCTTCGATATGTTGGAAGATTCTCATAGAAGTCCAGCCCAGTATATGGGGCTTGCCAGTTGCATTTGCTGTCCTCTTTTTTTTGGGGTCACCAAGAATCTGCAAGTGTCAATGAGTACCTGGCCCCACCCACAGTACAAGGCTGAACAAAACCACGCTCCTGTCCACACATGCTTTGCTGGCATAGCCAGAGACTGGCCCTCGCATCCGTCCCCGGGTCCAGAACCCGAGTTTGGCGCCAAACATCGATTACCTCAGTGTCCACGCCTCGCTGTACAACTCCTCCACCTTCGCAGCGGCTGGGCGCCGGCCATCAGCCAAGGTGCAACGGAACAGCAGGCAGAATGCAACAGCAGTCCAAATCATTCGGAAGAGAGGCTGCACAACCACACAGCTGTCAGGCCGGGCACAATCCGCGCGCCTTCTTCGGGGTCCGCTGGGCCCACACCGGGGTGGCGTCGCGCTTTCCGTGCGGACCGCACACTGTTCGCGGTGCTCAACAGCTGAATCGCAATCAGTCTAGAATCCTTGCCCTCGCCCGTATTCTCGCCAATGGTCCACCGTGTGTGGCTGTTGCAAGATTTCGGCCCCTGGGCGAAAATCCACTTGGGATTTCGTTCAGCTGATGTGCGGGTCCGCTGCCAATGTCCTGCCGGACGGAACTGGAGTGCCCAAATATGATGGGATCTCCCCATTTACCTTCATGGTTGACCAGTCAGCCGGACCTTCGACTCCATGCCCTCGCACTGGACGCGGGACAGTCGGACAGCTGTCTGGAGAGTCCTCCGTTGAGAAGGCCCAACGCAGATGCCCTGTTTCTTGGTCTATCTGCGCCGCGTGGGTCTTCCGAAGGAGTTGCCGCGCAGCGGTTGCCTAGGAGGCAAGCGGTCCGCTTGTTGCGTTGTCGACGAGGTCGCGCACGGCAGCAGCCGTCTACAGGACCAGGAAGGACTTCCGCACACAAAGGGCGTCGGGCATTAACTGAGCACGGTGCGCCAATGTATAGGGAATGATTGACACATGAAGGACACCCGATAGCACTGGACCGCCCCAAACAAGCCTCATAGTTTCGACATCGCGGGAATCGATTCTGGAGACCCTATCTCATGCTTTGCCCTTTACATGGGTCTCACAGTTGGTGATAGAGTCGTGCACGAGGCGGTTTGGGCATGCAGAGCACAACCCCCAGTACACAGGCTGCCGCAAGACCACACAACTAAAGCACAGATGGTGGACGTGGAGAAGCCAACAGCGTGAACATAGTTTCCTGGTGAAATGTTCAGCAAGAGCTGCACAGCACTTGCAGTTCTGCAACCCCGCTTACAAAAATCTAAACAACCAACAGAAGTATAGCGGCGCTGACCATGAGCCAGAGCACAGGTACCTGCCACAACCTGCAACTAGTGTCATAGTACTTCTCCCACTCTACCCACTCTGACACAACTTTATTGCTGGCAACAACTTTGCACAATGCAAGAACCAATACACAAAGTCGACACCCAATCGATTGGATACCACTCGTGAAATGATCGCAATACACATTTGCGCAACAGCTACCTATTTTATTCTTCAAACCAAGCAGCAATACTTTGGGTTCATACATTTCAGCTGTTCTGGTTTGAAACAAGCTCCCAGATCACACTAAGGATGTCCCTGGGTCCCCATCCAGAGCCTGGCTCTTCGATGAGTGGGCACCAGATTCCACCCACTTCAGCTGGCCATCAACTTCAACACACTCCTCCACAACATCGATGAACTTGCAGCCGGGGGGTGCACAACCATCGAGGATGGCCAGGAGTGCTTCTTCGACTTGAGCAAGCTCACCAGTGCTGATGTTAAGGGGTGGCTTCAGGACTTCCTCACGGGCATTTCGAAAAGGTGGAGTGACGCCATCAAGGGACTCAATCCTGTTACTTCTGGATGCAGGTATGTTGCCGACAAGCAAGATCTGCAGGCAGGCAGAAAACACAAAGATCTTGGCTCAGCAAAAGTCTGTGATAATGCTATGGTGTCCACAAGATGTCTCAAGTTCCGTTTTCTTGTCACAACTGACAATTCCTGATATTTGGGCCTCAGGCACCTGACTGCAAAGCCTTCAAATGTACTTCCCTCACATCGGAAATTTAGCAACATCAAGTCCATTTTAGCTCGGATACAATGCTGGATCTGTGGTGCTCAGCAGTTGATCCTGGAGATTTAATTGCCTTGGTCTCAAAGAATTATTCAGTGCAACATTTCCCAGTTAGCCACACTCTGCAACAACCATGGTAGCGCCTAGAGCCTTCTTCTGCACGTTCATGAGTTGTATTGCCCTTTCTGATAACAGAAACAGGACTGAAGCTGCATGTTACCAAACACCTAGTAGCAAATAAGGTCTGCTGAATACCTTGAAGCTTGGCCCATGTGCACAAGCTGGAATTTCTGCGGTGGCTGTTGACACACGCAAAAAAGTATCTACGTTTAAGACAAGCTGGAGTGAAAAAAGTTATAGCATGTTGCCCGTGGTGCCATTCCAGCGCGCAATTGCTGCGATTCTATCACCATTGTCAAGTAGCCTGCATTTCGCATCATGATTGACTGTTTATAGGCCTTGTTCTGTGCGAAACGTGCCCACAGTTGTTTGTCACAGCAGATCCAGTCTGCCCCAGTCTCTGGGGCTCTCTTCTGGGTTGGCTATCGCCAGTGAGCAGGGGAAAGTCAAACCCGGTGAAACTAGAGTAATCTCATAGTAACGATGTCCACACAAGGCCGTGCAACCGACCTGTTCTCCACACGGTAAAAGCATGGTTTGAAAGACAAGCAAAGAACAGTTGTGGCACGGGAAGCAGACAGTGGGGGAGGGGGACAGCAAGTATGACAACATTGGGGCAAACATCTCTTGCCAAACAACTCTGAGCTTGGCAAGCCTGTCTTGTCCCTGGGTGGACAGAGCCTGTCAGCCGGTTCCTCTGGCATCTGTAGCTCTACTTTTGCTTGTTCGTGTTCCTCTCCATTCTCTGAGGCAACCCTCGCAAGACTGGGGACCCCTTTCAGAACCTAACGGGGATAGTCTTGTGGCTGTGCTGCTGCAGTCCACAAAGTGCCACTGTTGCATTGGAACATCTAGGAGTGCGTTATGACAGCTATACTTCTCAAAAGACAATGCAGAAACCCTTCAGTAATGAGCATTCAAGAACCAACAACATCCAGCTCAAGCACTGTCAGTGGTCTGCCATGGACAAAATCAGTGCGCCGACTGCCCAGCAATGAACACACACAATAGGGCAGCACCTGTCCGATGTCTGTGATCTTCACACAGTGCACATCATCCAGAGTCTTGTAGGACTCCACAACTGTTGGGAGGTCTTGCACTTGCACTGGATAGTGTTGGCCATTGACGACCAGTTGCCCTTTGCGCTGGGAACCTGAAGCAGGCAGTAGACAAAGGCCAAAACTGGGTACCAAGAAAGGGGTGAAAAGGAATCCTCGAAAATGTATAACTGTGTGGGTGATAACTGGGCGTTGACAAGTACGATCCTTCTTGATACAGTCCTATTGTGGTTGCCCACTCAAACTGTGTCAACAACAGGAACTGTCATGCCCCTGGCCCCAGCAAAGTCTGCCAGGGACCATTCTTGCATCCCTTCATCAATATAAGGCCATCAAACCCACCATCATCATCTTTATCATGACATCATCAGGAGACCTTTGTAACCAAATCCACAATTTTGATATCCCACCTGCTGATGCCTGCTATACATGACAATCAGGTGCTCGTACAAATACTAAGGTACCATAGTTCTCAATGCGTAGAAACCCTGCTTAAGGACAAAACAGGCAGCAACAGGAACCCACGGCAAGCTGTCGCACCAGCAACTTCACAACAAAAGCCACCTGATGCTTGCTGTGGACCTTGTGTTCTGGTGTTCTCATAGGGAACATTGGACAGGTCATTGGCGGGCACAACTGCAGTCACGTTGCACTATTCATTCAGGGGCACATGAGCCCTTTGAGTACATGTTTTCTTTGCTTGAACTGTTCCCAGTGTGGCAATATTCCTGCACTCAAAGACGCCGAAACAATACCTCACATTTACAAGATATGATGCAGAATTGCAAGACATAGCTGCGGTGACCAGGGCCGCAAATTTGCACATGTTTGGGATTCCTATTGTACAACATTGTCTCTTTTCTTTCAAGTACAATACGGATTGGGCACAGTCAGTGTTTCACACGTACACAACCTGCAATGTGTCCCCTAGTTGGACCTTACAGATGCCTATTGGTACAACGAAAAGCCAATCATTTGATTGTATGCTGCATCTGCCAAGATGCTTCTTCTTTCTGATGACTTCACCCGCGGTGAACGCGACTGCATGTTACCCTGCTCACAGACATTCCACACCTTCAAATTCCAAAGACACGTCAAATTCTTGGCTGCCTTCTGGATGCCTGAGGGCTTCGCGGATGCGCTCAGCGAGCTCGCGGTCGTTCACCCTGAGAAGAAAGTTCTCTTCCTTCGCCTCCCGCTGAAGTTGCTGGCCTCGCCGCTTGCGCCCCCGAGGGCCCCGTCGCACTGAAAGAACATCAAAAAGGTGAGGGGGCGCGAGGGGAACAGCTAAACACAGGAAGGTTCTGCACACGAGACCCACCCAAAGGATTAGCTGGTGTAGACATCCGTCGGGCTTCAGCGCAGCCACGCCGTGATGCTGTGCTGAGTCGTCCATTTCTGGATTGACTTTCCCCTAGCCCAGCTCCTGTAGGTCCTACTGTGCTCTGTGACGTCCGTTCCCTCCAGTTTAACAGCGTCCACAGTCTGTCCCCAATACGCCAATACCGCCGTTCTTCCCAAGCAAGACGCATGGTGATTGGCGCGCGTGCGCGCTGTATCCAGCCGCTCCTTCTTTCAGCAAAATTGCGACTTCTTCATCAGCTTCCCGAGCGCTTGCAGGCGACCCTCGTCCTGTTGTCCGATGTTCAACGTCTGGACTGCAGACTGTGGGTTGCTCTTTCCTTCGAATCACTTTTACTGCGAAATACGGAGAGTGTTGGGTACTACAGGGGGCACAACTAAAGCAGTGAGGGGCGGTTTCGGAGTTGACGTTGGACCCGCATTCAATTGTGAAGTTGTTCTGTCCTCGACAGAACCAACGACGCCTTATTGTTGCGGGCGCAACCAACTTTGCATTGCACAGGCTGCTCTCGCTTTGCTGTGATTGTATCCTTGCCAGCTGTCGACCGAAGCTGACGAGATGTATGACATCAAATTGGGGCAGCATTGGCAACTATTTGCGGATGTTGCACAAACACCACTAACATTGTGAACGAGGGCAGAGGCACACCTGCAATGCGGGTGCAATGTCTGATGAGCATGTGCCACTTGTGGAAAACGCCAGCGCGATATTAGGAATACTGCTCCGTCAGTGACACCTCTTGTATTGTTGCTTCGCATGAAGACAAACGAAATCGCAGTTCGCAATGCATCTTGTGGGCTGACAGTAAATTCAGCCAACACCTCTGGTGCAGGAGTACAAGGTGATTTGGATGTGTTCAAAGATCTTCTCAAAAATGTCTCAACCTAAGAATGGGAGGTTGGCCTGTTGCCAGCAAGCTCACTTGGCACCTGCTCCACCACTATGCACACTCCCAAGCTTGCAGTACATACTGAAACAGGTGCCTGGTGATATCAAAGCACAAGAAACAGCATGCACCACAACTGCACCACGAAGACAGAAACGAAAAATTAAATGAAACACCAATCAACTCGGGGTATTAGGACTGATGTTAACCACCTTGTCAACGTTGCACCTCTGAGGACTCCATTCCACCCGTATATGCACAACCTCAGGCATCACTCAACTACCATTGGTGCCGAATTCCCCACATTGGAGGGCATCTTTGCATCCTGTCCCAAATTCCCATCGCTGGACCTTGCATCATTATTTGCTGATCCCATCGTGAATGTATCGTGGCCAGCTGGTGCCTCAATTTTCGACCCTGTGTCTGGCTTTCGCCCCTCTTTTCCAGATGCAGGGCTTAGCCGGAGCCGTGTAATCAGGCCACGTAAGTCCTCTACGCCCTGCTGCCCTCCAGTGCTGCCAGTGCCAACATCGTCACCTTTTGGCCCACCCATGTGCTCTTTTTCCTGAACATGCACCACACCACCAGCTCAAGCCCTTGGCACTGCTCGCTGGAAGAAACTAACAAACACTTTGAGCAACAGTCAGCTGAGCATAAGTTTTCTGATTTGGGAGATCCACAAAGAGGGTGAACAATGAAATAGCCAACAGCAAGGCATTGCTGAAAGAACAATGGAAAACAGCATGCACTGGTCTGTTTTCACTCCTGCTTAGTGCTGCATGGCACATCGCATGAGTGGATAAAAATAACGCATGCAGGACATAAAATGATGCAGGTGTACAGGCCCATCATCGCCTGCAGCACCACTTTGTCTTATCAAATGATTTGAAGGGATAACAGCATCACAAACTACGAAACGTGCAGCTGCACAGCTGACTTCCTGCAATTTGTCTGTACTGCAATTAGCCAACATGTGCTTGTCTGGCAGCCCTGCGCAGATTTGCAAAGTACACATCAGGGTGGGCAACCATTGGTCAGCCTGATGGCGCACACCCGCGGAGTGCATGCCTGTGCTACGTGCTGACCAGGTCGCAAAACAACCACCACAAACAGCAGGCCAAAAAGAGGGCCAACACCATGTGAAACCTTACTGTGTTGTGCAGAACCCCACACACCTTTTGGGCCTTGCGCCTCTGCCTCTTTCTCAAGTTCTTCTTGGCGCTTGGAGTCATACCCACTCTTTTGCTCTGCTCTTCTGTTACATTCTGCTGACCCTTACCGCCCTCAGTTGCATCCAATTTTTGAATGCGGGTAGCCTGATGAACAAACATGGCAAACAGTCTGACTACACACGAGGTGGTGTGTGGAGAAGATGCACCAACATCTAAAAAGGAACCCAACATCAACGTCTTGCAGTGCTTTGTGCATCCTGACAATATACACAACATGTGGCCAATGTACCTTTGACATGGGCAACCTCCATAGTTTTCGTGTCTGCTTGGGTGCATCAGGTTTTCGATCCTCATTGGTAGCCATACGAAACATGAGGTGAATGGCCGGAGCTTCCTTCGACTTGATGAATGGATGACCTCGATGCCAATGGTACATTCCAACATAATTTGGGTCAGGGGTTGCACCTGCATATGGAAATCGATCATATGTGCACACCATCATCAGGGAGTTGTACATCAAGCATTCATTTCCAGCCAAGTTAGCACATACCACCTCTGTTCCAATAGTCTTGTCAGTTATCCAAGTTGCGAAAACAGAGGTCAAGTCATGCGAGTCAAAAATTTGACAAAAACAACTTTGACCCGCCATATTGATAGCTATATGTAGAGGCCCTCGGCGTGGAACACGGTGCTGCCATTCTTGCGATATGCTAAGAGGAGCACATACACCACTTTCCCCTGTGTCAGGAACTAGAGCGGGGTATGGTGAGCTCGTCGTGCCCTTTAAAGGAGGAGCATCGAGCTGAGTTGTCTCTTGGAAAGATGATTGGCCAGGTGATTTGGTACACACTGAAGATTCGGCTAAATACAAGCAGAATCAACGGAGCAAAAGATGTGGGCTTGCCGCAGATTTTTGGGTGTCAACAGGAACTGTGCGTAGGTTGTGGTTGAAAGCCAGGAGGTGCTTAGATTGGTGCAACAGCATTGACCTGAACAGTGCACCAAGGTTAGCAAGGCAGTGCATACTGACGTTAACCCGAGAAGGGCCTAGTTTGGTGCCCATACGGCCAATCGTTGAAATCAACAATTTCAAAGGCATGGGTCGCAGAACAGAAGAGATGGTCCACAAAGAGTGTGATTGCAATGATGCAAAAAATGCTTGAAAAGTTATAATAGCCTACTTGTCGCCCACAACAAAGTTCTTGAATAATACTTCCTCCGTCTGGAATTAATTGTCCTCTATTTGAGAGATGAAATTCGTTATAAAGGACATATGAAACTTACCAAAAAATATCAGAATCGGAAAGATTGTGTTGTAAAACCCTTTCCTACCAATTTTCAAGGAAAATATTTAGTCCCACCCCCTCTAGATGGCCCCCAAAATTGGCCGAAAATCGTCCAAAAAGAGTGCATGCAGATTCCGCATCTGCTGGAGAACCGCACGTTTTTGGGTCGCTCCCGTCCTTGGTGCGCTAAAGATAAGTCGTTGTCGTCTTTAGAGTGAAGGGCGGTGTCCCTTACGTGGAATAGCGCTTGCCAAACACGTGCGAGCGTGTTTGGATCCCCATCGTGGGAGGCCATATCACAGTTTTGACGATTTTTGAAATCTCGGCGATCGTCGATCTTTGACGTGCATACGTAAAGCAAGCGGACAAGGCTTGGAAACAGGGTATTCAAGCTTGGGCTATTTGCGAGCTATTGTTCCAAGGTTATGCAGCAGACTTGTTTGGACAATCTGCCTCGATTGAGGCTTGAATCGTTGTTTTTGTGAGCAGCTTGGCCCACACCTCACAAACTGCCACGATCTGCCAATTCTTGCATGCAATCCACAACCTATCGCAGCCCAACAAGTGCGTTTCCCTTTGAGAGACATAGTTTTATCTATCTAACTAATCTTCTCAAGATCAAGCCTTTCAAGTGCCAAAAAATGGTCGATTCACTATTCCTATCCAGGAGGGTCACTACCTAATTGCACCCTAATTGCCCCCTAATTGTCCACCGCTGAATGGGGAGATGGCCACCACCTTCCTAAAGGTCTATGAGGAATTTGGGGGGCCTCTTGCAGTATCCCTCATAGTGGAGTTGGAGGTCCAAAAGTCGAGGTTCAGAAATTTGGACCTGATGGGCATCTCTGATTTGGCCAATCGAACTTGAATTGCAGCCGCAAGACGCGGCGACTTCCATGATCAAGACTTTCAAGACACATTTTCTGTTGCCTTTTTCCTTTGACAACACCTCCATGATCTTCTATCCAAATAACGTGGATAGTTTTGCCCGGGCGGCTCTGTAGCGCTGCCGCAAAGGCGTGCTCCTCAAAACAGCGAAAATGGCCATTCCAGCACGGATGTTGAAAAACTGGTGGGTTTCTGGCTAGATGACCCTTGCTGCAAAGTGCTGCCAAATCCGCAATACTCAACGGATTGACTTGAAATTTTGACTGCATACTCTTAAAACATAGGCGTTGTTTTGCAAGAAATTTGAATGAGAAATGAAGCCCCTATGATAGAGAAGTAAGGCACCAAAGTCATAGAGGACAATTAATTCTGGACGGAGGAAGTATATAGGAAATGGGCTGGCACACATGGGGATAAGGCGAGCACAAAACTAAGGGGATTTGACAAAGATATGTAGGGATGCTTTCGATAAGGCTGTGCATGTCTTGCTGTATGGTTATGATTGTTAGTCATTAAAATGTAATCAAGATCCCCATTACACCAAAATGGACCAAAGAATCCGAACTTGGTGACAGATTCACTACTTGAGTTGATCCTGCAAAGTTATGGCAAGTTTGGATAACGGGACAAGACTTATGGTAGGGAGGTAGTATGTGCATGTGCACTATCTATCCTAGAGTCTGACAATGGATGTGCAGACTGCAAGGGCAAGCAGCCAGTGCTTTACTTCGTTACTGGCACCAGGGACACGATGTACTTTTCCCACCGTCTTTCTCGGTCTTTGAGTCTTCGGTGTCCATCTTTGGACCATCTGTCTCCATCTTCATGCCCTCATCAGCGTTTGGGCCCCCAGATTCACCTGGTGGGTCTTTTGCACCAGCTTCTGGCACAGACACAGGGGTTCCCAATTCTGATATGGCACGCATTGCACTGCCACCATCGCCAAAAACAATATTACCTGGAATAGTAGACACACCAATCAGTGTGTTAGGAATTTCATGAGGACATCGTGAGCAAATTGCATGCTTTGCAAATCTGAAAGAACCAGCAAGCCATGCCAGCATGTGGCAGGAACAGGTCGGCATTTGCTGGCACATGGTTTGTTGTGGTCTTGCATGGCAACTGACCCTGCAATTGTGACACAGAAAACACACAAAGTTGTTCCTGGAATTGTATGCTTGCTATGAAACCTGGACCACCAGACAACAAGACAACCTTGTGTTCTGTAACAGCAGTTCTGTGGGGTGGACAATCATCCATGAACAGAAAACTGTGTGTTCCTTGAGGGATTGTGGACACCCACAATGTGTGTGAAGCTGCCTGGAAGGGGTGCGATTCACACACAATAAGATAACATGAGCGCCCAGAATGTAGACTGAAGGTCAATACATGCCACTGTGGCCTGCCACAGAAGATTGGAAAAAGGTAGGTTTCAGCTCCCCATTCTGCAACACTCGATACCCCATTTGCACCTAGATTGTCACAACATTTGTGTGCAGCATGGTCCTGCAATGACCTGTCTAATGCTCTGGCTGCAGACTACCAGAAGTACCAAATGATGGTGCAAGAAGTGGCGAATCACTTCAAACCAATTTCAGTTGCTCTGGTATTCCCTCATCAGGTATGGCAGCCAATTTTATAGTACTCAGGAGGATGGAAACTTGCACATCCTTCATGTCCTCCATGCTGGCACTGCTCACATGAGGAGTCATTGATCCACTCCACATACGTTGGCCCATAGTCTGTAAAGTACCGGAGTACATCCTTTGAGCTCATTAAGTCCACCCCATACATATGGACAGTGTCCAAGCGCCGACGAAGGCTTGGATCCGCATCAATTCGTCCCTCAAGCAGTAGCCCTGCACAATAACAGCACATGGATAAAGTGTACAAGTGCTTGCACAGCAATCCTGGCCTGCAATGAAGCACATTTTTAGACCTTGGGCCAACAACAAACTCACTCCTTGGCAGACACAAAGGCTTTCAATGTTACTGTGGGCAAGACAAGATCGGCCATATCAACTGTTGACAAATCGTTGTTCACTCTTATGTTTTAGCAAAACCCTGTACCACTCCACAGAACACACAGTACAGTACCTCTTCACAGGGATGTATGAGTGAGAAGACAATTACTTGCAGGGCGAAACAACCAGACTTCACATGGGCATGCGCATTGAGCATCGACTATGGGCAAGGAATGGCAATTGGACAACTGCAACAATAGATTGCTGGCTGCAACTGATTGGGCTTGTTCAAATTGAACAAATTCCTACGTTCAGGAAATGGTCTGTTGATGAGCTTGAGTTTCTTCACTGCCGGCTGCATTTCTTGCACTGGACCGAATTTTTCAGCCCTGCGTTTGCGAGCCTCCAGTTCCTCAGCGCTGATTTGATCCTGACAAAACATTGCACATTCCGTCAAAAAGGGTAAAGCTGGCCAATACCTGTCAGGAGCGTTGGTAAGGAACTTCAGCTGCAAATTAATGGACTATGTTCCATTTCACTTCTGAACGATGCCCCTGCTTATTTCGTTAATCCTCTTGCAGTGGCACAATCTCCAATGGGACAATTTCGCAACTGGAGCTCATAAGAAAATGCCTGCTCTGTGCTGAGGAACAGACTTCACTTTGAGTCACTGCAGGAACCAATTCCACCAATTCAAAAGGCACAATGCAACACACCTGCACACGTGCCCCTGCAGGTCTGTTTTTGCCCTTGTGCCTCTTTTCTTTCTTCTGCTTCTCCACGGGAGTTTTGCTCTTGGGTCCGTTGCATTTTCTGGGTTCGACATAGGGCGTTCCAAACCGCTGAGCCCTGTGCAAGCCGCCCCAACCGCGACAACTGAGTTTCTTGCAATATCTCGAATTGGTCAAATCCAGCAGGCAGGTACCCAGCGCAAAAATCTTGGCGCAGGGCCCCCGAAGAGAGATCTGCTGGTGGAGACCTTGAATTCACAATTGCGTGCAGCCAGCAGACGTCAATGTTCTCCTCTCTCTGGGGCATGATCAGCAGCCGGAAACCAAACTTTAGGCGGATCAACAACTCGTACACTCCGCGATCGCCACAACTGGGAAGCAGTGTCAATGCACCGTTTGTAAATGTAGCCCTGGACAGTTGCCTGGCTGGGCCGGATGCCCCTACAGGAACATGCCCTGTCTGTCCCGCAGCCACAGCTCCAAAGCGAAACAGTGAAACATTGGGTCAGCCCCTTAATTCGGCTCCATTGCAAGCTACTGGGACCACCCAATCCCCCCTCCCGCCCAATCCTGGCGAAAACCCACATTTCGCTGGACAGAGAAAACGCGTACCTGCGCCTGTGCTTTTCTCGCTCTTCCTCCATTTGTTGCTCCGTTTTCTCTGCGCCCTCCTGCCCTGCCTCCATCTCGACGTCGCCGGTTTCATCCATCTCGCCTTGCACAGAACGACACACGGGACTATCCCTGCCGTTGTGCGAGCCCTCTGCCTCATGCGATTGGGCGCAATGGGCCCGGTGTGGCCTTTGCCATTGGATGAGGTCAGACAGCTTCCAAGAAATTACCGCCTGACGTGACAGCACACCATCCTTTCCCCCACTCAGAGGGGTAGACAATTGCTGCTAAATGGCCATGGCCGGCAGCTGAACTCCTGGAACCCACAGTCCATGTCTCCAATAGGTTCGTTGAGAGTTCACGCTGCAAGGCGGTGTGGCGGCCTCCCGAGGAGGGGGGGAGGCGTTGCCCTCCGTGTACGATACGACGCCTCTGTAGACTTAGCTCTCTTGTGATTCGTGTTACTCCCAGCTTATGGCTTTCTCCTATAGCACTCAGAAATTTGTGCATCATTCTGAAAGCAACAAAAACATGATGTGTCTCAGTTCACAATTGCCGCCCATCAATTGGGGTTGCAGCCTATATGCATATGATATTAGCTGTCTCCTTTCTGAAGAATACTTAGTGCTTGATTACTTTCAACAAATCGGGCGGATTGACCTTTCAGAAATCGTAAAGACGGCCCCGTGAAAGGAATTCGCCGCAATTTCGTAGATAATGTATTCTGCGCCAATTCATAACATATGAAAAGTTCAAGGGGGGGGGGGGGGGGGGGGGGGGGGGGGGGGGGGGGGGGGGGGGGGTGTGTGTGTGTGTGTGGAACATAAGTCATGGGTGCAGCAATGTTATTCACATACTTCAATGCAATGCAGCGGCTGCATGTTCCTAGCGCATGCGCAGCGCGAGCCCCAATGAAGCAACTAGCAGAGCTTCAACAATCTGCGTGTGAAGCGCTCATTCAAGCCCATTCCGTTGCGGTTTTCCAACAGACCTCCTGATAAACCTGCTTGCGCAGCTGGAGCCACAACTATCGCGATCACTGCTGTTGGCGCTTTGTTGGGTTGAGAGACTTGAACGTCAAGTGAGAAAACAATTGAAGTCGGGTGGGTCCGTTCCACAGGTGAGCATTAATAGTCACAGGTATGTCGCCAATTACGAGCTCCATGCAGATGTAGAATACATCAAATGGATTTGCGGCATGTGGGGCAAAATGTTGGTTCCAGAAACAGGATGATCCAAAGATCCGTGTTCCGTTGGCTGTGGCAACTACAACTGTACTTTGGCGCTCCAATCTGAACACGAGAGAGCTGCATACAGCAAAGTAAGCACATTGAGTTTGAGTACTCAAACTCTGCAATGATCTCACTCAACTGGAGCATCAACGCATTGTAAGGCAATTTGCAAGCAAAGCACAGCTAGCACAGTTGTGGCTCAAAGTTTGTGCGTCCGCCATTGCAATTAGTGATCAAAACTCACGACCTGCCTTTCTCTTTCCCACTCATCCCATTTTTGCTTCCACACAAGAATGTTTAGCCGGGAGTGCTGCAGCTTGCAATGAATGAATGTACCTTTGACGCACCAAATACACGAGTGCTGAAAGGAACGTGGCTGTGGAAAGTCGCACAAGCATTGCTGGAATATTCTGCGCCCGTCATTGCCTGCGAATTGCAACCTTGCCTTGAAAGGCTTTGGTTGTCCTGGCTATTTTGACATATGGAATCCATAGAATTCTCCTCGGGGCAGCCAATGATCAATATTGTGGCTGCCTCACTAGTTTGCCCAAATACGCTATTCCCCGGCACCGTCAGATTGCATGCCGTTCGTGACAAGCATTGTCACAATCATTGTGACAAAAAGCGTAATTCAACCCTGCAACCTGCCAGTGGTTAAACGCAATTTAGGCACTGCGCCGGTCTGATACCATCGGGTACTACCCCCACTCGAAAAATGCAGTTGTTTTTCGTGCATTCATGAGGGTCGGCTACGGCTCAACGGCACCAGTCAGGTATTCCTTGAGCCCTCTCCGCTGCAATGTGGGCACGAAGGCAGATGTGGCTTCACTGGGTGGTGGCAGCAGGGCAAGTATCTCCCTCGCAGAACCAACCAGAGCCTGCGTTCTGGAGACACGCGAGACCGTTGCTCTGCTCTTCGAATGGGTCCTTCACGGCAATTGACTTCAAGCTTTTTCTCCAATGTTCGCTGTCTCACTGTTACTCGCGCTGTTCTGCCTCCAGTGTGGGTGTCATCAGCGGCCAGTACCTGTTTGCGGAGCCACTACAGGTAGATGCAGCTCCGATATCGAAGGTTGCCGATCAGTGAGACCCTGTATTCATAGTCTTGGCCGACAATGGGATTCAGTTCTAGCCATGGTGTTTGGTGCCCGAAATGGGGTTGCTATCACGGACACCGCAAGCGAGCATTCCCTTCTGGATCACTGGTGATGTGTGGGTCCAGCCGATGTGCTTTGTGTGTCATCTGTTGTTCGAAAACCCGCTGTGGACGGTGGCATGCAGAATTACTGGGCAGACAAGAAGAATCCTGAAACAAAAGCACCAGAGGAACCACAGGCCGAGTGATTCATGCGCGCAGCGGGTTAATGGACAACGAAGAAGAAAGAGAAGGAAACTGGTACGCCTTTGGGAAGGCTGTGTCTGATGAAGAAAGCCTGCTGTGAGCTTACTTGCAACTGTCCGACCCTCCATATGAGAGGACACAGACGATGCGCCCCTATATGGATCCAAACTCATTGTATGTTGTGCTGACATATTGAGTCACCTTCATAGTGGGTGATTGCCACGATCAGTTGTTTCCTTGGATGATGTGTTTCTGTGTTGGATGCAGTCAATAACAGTCCACAGCAATGTCCAGAACTACTGAACATGCAAACAAATTTGTCGACTTGGTGGCACAAGAGCTCATTATGTTCAACTACCATCATGTGAGGACAACGAAAAATAACGTGCAGCGACTATGTTAGCATGGTGTTGGCAATCTTGATTGGCTTCTGTGCGCAGTTGCCTTTGGATATGCAGACCACATCTATCAATGATTGCTCAGTCTGCAATGCAATTTAGTTCCAAATGTTACCTGGGCTGAGTATGAATAGTCACAACTCCACAACAACAGTGGCAAAACTCTAATGTGATGTAATATGTTGGTGTACAAGAACTGCAGGTGCAACAATCTGTACAACTGCAAAGGATGCTTTCTTCGTTGTAGTGCCAACAGTGGTACAATGGCTGACATTTCCAGAATGTGGGGAATTCTCCAGATCGTGTTGTCAGGTGGGGGCCATGGCGGCCTCATCGCACAAACAGAATCCAAGATACAAGTATACAAAAAAGCAGCAAAGCTGGCTTTGGAGCTGTTTAGATTGGTCATATGCACACACAGCCTCGAATATTTCATTTTGCCGCTAAGAGATCAGTTCATGTTTATGTGTGCAGGGAAGTGGAAGAGTTGTCTGGATCTGCCACAACAGCAGCAGGAGTGACAAGGAACAGCGTTCCAAAGCTTACCGCGATTTGTGTCCGTTGCGTTGCCAGTTTGATCATATCATCTGATCATCATGGGAACCTGCATGGTTTGTGTATACTCCCGTCTGAATTGAAGCAGGACATCTTTGAGCTGGTGGTTGCAACAAAGCATCTCAATGACGTCCTAGCCAGGTAGTTTACGTTTGCAGTGCGCAAGGACTTCCTTTTCTGTTTGCTGCCCATTCGGCTTCTCTTGGTGTTAATCTAAATTGTACCAGAAGAAGTGTTGATGCTCTGTTTCTCAACTTATGTTTCTATCAGCAATAAATGGTTTTGACCATGGTGACTGTGCGGAGAGATGATATATACGATAGATGAGAATTTCCTGTGTGCCCAGGAATTCTAAACCCTTGCCCCACACACGCCTTGGGCATCGATGGCGCACATAATGTTGTTTGCGAAATGTGTTTTCACCAATAACATACGGAGTTTCATTGCTGAAGTATTTGTGGCACCAGGTTGCACGCAAGCGCAACGCTGAGTTTGCATGTATAGTTATGGTTCAGGTGATTTAGTGTGGGCTACAAAGGTCAGCACACTGAAATAGTGTTAGGTTCAATCGAATGGTCATTGTGCGGTATGGTTTGTGAGAAAAAGGGTGTCATTCTGCAGTGTCCTGTGGAGTGAGGAGTGGGTATTTCGGCGTGCTGCCCTGTCGTTGGCAGGGAATTACCACCTTTCTGCCACCCGCCTCACACAGTTGCTGCATGGAGACTGCCCAAACCTTAGAAGCATCAGTTTCGCGGATGTGGTGACGTTGACAGACGAGGTGCTGGAGCAGCTGGTTGGCACTTGTTGCAATCTCACGAATTTGGACATTAGTCTGTGCTGCTGGGTGACTGATAGAGGCCTCCAGACACTGACAGCGCTAAAGAACCTCCAAAGCCTCAACATCCAGGGCTGCTGGAAAGTTACATCTGTGCTGCATCTGACATCGTGCAATGATCTGAGGTCAGTCACACACACCCTACAATAAATTTGTGAGGCTACGCAGCAGCAAATCGCATTGGGAGAAACGCATCCTTTGTGCATGCAAGATTCAAATGAAAAGTGGTCAATGGCACAAGAGCACTCGTTGGAACAGTGTCAACTGAATGCACAGGCAGGTCGCTGCACTGACACAAATTGGAAGTTGTTCGTTTAGCCATGTGCACATGAGAAACCAAGTCCAATTTCCAAGCTAAATTGAGGTCTTGGCTATTAGAATTGTGTTCACCTTGCAATCAGATTGTTTCACAGACATGTTGCACAGTGCACTATCCGCCTGACACTGATTTACAAGCCCCTCTTTCTACTGTGTTGCCAAAGGTTTGTCAACTGCATGAATGTCTTCTCAATAAATTATGACTGGACGAGGTACACACGTTGTGGGCTCTGAACTGTTTTTCAATCCGGTCGCAGATGTAGCTGGAATTGGTGTTGGCACAATTTGCATGTGGGGTAGACATGACATGAAACAAACGACATAGCTTGCAGTAGTTGTTGTGCTAGCGATAGGGAATCATTGACTGTTGTTTGAGGACTATTGCCTCATGTAGCCCTGAAGCGCTGTTGTTGTGCAGGACACTGAATGTTTCAGAATGCTGGCAGCTGACTCCAGCTGGGGTTGGTATGTACTTGTCAGCTGCTGGGAAGCTTGAAGTGCTGGACATTGGTGGTTGTCGATTTCTGGACAACACCGCATTGCTTGGCTATGGGACGGCATCTGAACGAATAAACAGCTTGGTCCTTCGAGGGACACGCGTAACTGATGCACTGCTTGGGAAGCTCAGCAGCCTGTGCCCAAACCTGCATCACATCGACTTGAGGGGGTGCATGCATGTCAGCGGCACAGGGGTGGCGGTGTTGCTCCAGTCATTTGGAGGTGCAAGAGATGGCAAAACCCATCCCCAAGGTGATCCATAGTCTGTTTTCGTCAAGGGGACTATGTGAACGACTGTGGACTGCAGGCCTGAAATTCCATGTGGTTCTAGGAGTGCATGAGAAGATTGCTACCACAAAATGACTTCTTTTCAGGTGTCAGGCTCCCTGTGAACGATTGTTTGCTCCATGTAGGAAGAAGCGGGGGTCTGCGGACGCTCAAAGTTGCTGGCATTACAGACCTGTGGGGTGCAATTTGTCAAACGTGCCTGCCACAGGTACGCACTTTGTTTTCAAGGAGTGCTCAAACTGTGGCTGTGAAATTGCTTTTCAACAGAAAGGATGTTTTGCATGCAGTGGGCAATTCTTCTCAGCGAGATTTGTGAGTCTTCTCCAGACACTGATGTAACAGCTTCTCAGCACGACAGGAATGGCATGCAACATGCAACATAAAACATGCCCTCATATTGTAGTCCGATTCGATGCTGACTTTGAGGCAGCTGCAACATTCAGTGAACACATTGCAGCAATGTTTTTGATGCATGAAAATGCACTTCTCTTTGGTAGGAGCAGAAGGTGCTGCAATAAATTATTGTCATTTCGTGGATGATGAAACAGACTCTGTATCAGGGAGAATCGTGACAGCAGTAAGCACAAGCTATTGACGTTGTGTTGCTGCCAATGTTTATTGCATCACAGGGTTACAACAGGCATACAGAGGCCCAAGATGTGGCAAACGTGCATGCTGCTTGGGCTGAGAACCTCACATGCTTGGATGTGTCGTACTGCTCAGATGTTTCTGACACAGCACTGCATTGGCTGGCTGTGCACTGTCCACGCTTGCAGAGGCTGATGGCAGTGGGTTTACTGATTTCTGACGAAGGAGTTGGACATCTGACATGCTTGAGGTTTGTGGAGGCTGTTGCCCTGGTTCTGGCCGGTTCAAGCATCCATGTGTCCCTGTGTAACCCTCCGTGCTTCACTTCCTCTGGACTTCTCACCCAGCTTGGAACCTGAACTGCTCTTTGCCCAAATTTGAGACAAACCCAATGACAGCCCACGACTTTGTGTTTTCTTTTAGGAATCTTCGTTACCTCAACTTGGGCAGATCCCAGCTAGCAAGAAACAGAGTCAGAAAGCGCAGGAGGGTGCCCTTAAGTGATGACTCCATGGCTGCCGTTTGCAAGTCTTTGTGTATGCATAACAGCTCAGATTGCTTACGTGATGGTTGTCCCATGGAGGAAGGTGTGAGTGACAACAAGACACCATGCGCAGGCTTGGCTGTGCTGGGAGTCTCAGGTGACAGTGTCTCCCCCTTGTTTTGCATCTTTGCTCTGGGCGAAAGGCTGCCTGTGTTTAGTGCTGGTATATCCGCAGAGTGCTATGGACTTCAGAATATTATAGAGCATCACCTACTAGCCTTTACCAGTCAATGATGTGGCTGGCTGTCAAGAGGAAGTGCTGATAATCGTCACATTGCGTGTTTCAGGCACTGCCATCACAGACAGGACCCTAAAACACATGAGTGGGATTGTGTCTCTCAATCTCCATCACTGCGTTCACGTGACATCGACAGGCATACTTCAACTGCTTCTGAACTGCCCCAACTTGGGGAAGTTGAATGTTTCTGGCTGTACTGCCTTGGATCCAACGGAACTGGGTGCAACAGCAGCATGCAGGCAGCCACATCGAGGAAGTTACACATCGCAGGTTCTGCCTTCATCTTCCAAAATGCCAAAGGCTGGCACAGGTCCACTAGGCAGCAGCCTTGATGCCATTGAAAACCTTGTCAGGGCCCTGAAGCAGTGCCCTGCTCGATGCGCACGTCTTATACATGTTACAATCCCAGGTGAGGTGTGCTTCCAGAAAGTTTCACAATTGTTTGGTCCCGCTTGCCAGTGTCTGGAAGGTATTCAACTTTGGCTCTCATCCCGTCTGAGGAGAGTCGGTGCTGGGCATTGGCAACCAATTTTTTTTTCCAAGTTTGCATATTGTTGGCTGCAGCACTTTACCCTTGCGCTGTGGTGAGGCTGGTTTTGTACCCTGAATGTTGTTGACGTTGCTTTGGTGCAGGGTGCATTTCTGTTCCAGAAGTTCTGTTGCTCCTCACAGGCCTCGTTCGTGCCCCAACGCTAGATTTTGGGCTCCCTTGTGGAGTGCTGTCTAGGCTGGAACACCTGGAGGTCACAAATGCTGGCAAAATAGATGACGCACTGCTGATATTCATAGTGGATGGATGCCCATTGCTTCGAGATCTGCTGCTATTTTGTGCGACGGTTGTATCAGATGTTGGGCTCAGCCATGCTGTGGCCAAGCTGCCATTCCTGCAGAGGCTGACATTAACAAAGGCAAAGGAAGTGACAGATCGAGGTGTGGCAGATCTAACAAAGCTTGCTTGCTTGCAGTCATTAGATCTGTCCGAATGTAGAAAGGTGAGACCCCCACTGTCAGTGGTTTACACTGCTGCATGCCTCATTTGCCTGTTTGTCTCTCCACGTAAGTGTAGGGACTCAAGATATAATCGTCTTGTGGTGGTAAAGTTTCAAAGAGAAATTGTATGGATCTTGACCCTGAAATGAAAACATGCCATTGAACGAGGAATGATTCTTGGTATGATTCATTCATGGTCTTGCTCAGGTCACTGGCACTGTTCTTGAGACACTCTCATCAGTACCACCTCAGGCACAAGACACTCCTGCCTGTGAAGGAATGCTTCCTAGCCAAAGCCCGATCTGCACAACAGCTTTTCAGCTGTTGAGTGTCACAGCGTTCCTACGTTGCCTCAAGTTGGAGCATTGCCCAGCTGTTAGCGAAGGACCTCTGCTGCTGTTCTTGGCACACTGTGTGAACTTGGAGGTGCTGTCATTGCGACGGAACGTCCAGGTCGGAATCAGCACATTCACAGAAGCACTGTTTTCCATGCCAACTCTGCGTGTGTTGCTGATGGGGGGCACTGGGATGGAAGATGGTGCATGTGCGTGTGATACATGGACAAAGCCAATGGAAGGTAGGTTGGTGATCACTGCAGCTGCTAGGTAGCGTTTTTAAACATGCAAACAGGCCGTTTGTGTTGTTTGCAGTTTATTTTCCAAGAATTTTGCACCCCATTGAAAAGTTAATGTGCCAGCTTGTCCTAACAGAAGGGATGTGGGCGTTATGTCACCTAACTTGAAACTGAAAGGCGATGCACACCCCCAAAGAGTGTCCGAAGGGTGCTCAGTCTCAAAGAAGACATGGTCGTCACTTGGATGGGACAAACAAATTGCAATGCTTTGTACTTCAATGGCATGTACTGATGAACTGACATGAGAGAATATGTCCTGTTGTCGTGTATCGCTCATGATAAGTTCCATGCGCCCCATACAAAGACCAGCTCGCCCATTCCAGCCCCCTGCGATTTGTCCCTCACAAATGCACAAGGTGGAGAGTGCCCCAAAAAGTCAAGCCAACAATTGGATGGTCAATCCTTGCTGGTGTCGTTGTTTTTGACTGTGTGGACGATGTACTGCTTCATGGCACTACCTCTGGTCTTAGATATGGAGAATGGTTACCTTGCAGGGCTGCAGAATCTGAGGAAAATTGAAGTGCCGTACAACTGCATGAAAATCACCGCATGGTTAGGATGCCATTTTGTTCCGTGGGTGGAGATCACGCACTCATGTGGAGGGGATTGAGGTTCGGGGGGATGTGGGCTTCTTCAGGAGCATTGGTGTTTCAGTTGCTTGTAAGTGGTTGACCTGCTATTGCTTTCCAGTCCAAAAATAGTTGTGTGACAGTAAACTACTATTGGCCTGTGGCGGGCATTGTCTTGCACTGTGCGTCGGCAGCGGTGACTCAAAATGGCTACACCAGCGACTCCATGGTTAAGAGCCGCATTAGCTGGAAAGGAAGAGCACATGCAAAGTGTCAATTAGATGTGTATCCATCTGTGCAAGAGTCAATGTCCACATTCTTCCAATATGGTAGGACAGATAGGATGCGTAGGTTGCAAGTGTGGAGTGGACTGATGCACCCTGCCGGATTCTCGCACCAGTGTCTTGTCTGCATTGCGTTTCAGGGACTGCAGCGATAGTGGAGCATGTGCTGAACCTAATACCCTGCTGTGGTGGCGTATTCTTTCGACGTGCCTTCCTGTGCCGCTGGAGAGAACATATAACGAATCAAGAATACTAGTGGCCTGGCCGTGCCTACAAGTGCCATTCGCTTCCTCGCCACACTTTAGAATTGCGCGATTTCCGAATGTCTACTGCTGGTGGTCCCCATTGCTTCCACAAGATGTGCATCGGTGAACCTTTGCCTCTCAAGACAGCCTGCTATGCAACTTCGCAGCGCCACGGGCCACCACGATTGTGGGCTCCCTCCCATTTTTTCTTTTGTGGCGCTCCATGGCCATCTCCATGCCCATTGGCTCTAAAACTGAGCTGCCAAATTTCGCAACCTCAAAAACTGATATCGATTCTGAGAAGAGTCATTCCTGTCTAGCCACACCGATTTACCCAAAGAGTGCCTTCCAAACTACCGCTCCCGCCTTCCTGGTGCATTTTGGCACACATTCTTCCAACGACCGCCTTTCCCGTAGCTGCCCCTGGCCCCGTGCGGCTCCTTTATTTCCACTCAGTACATGGAACCGTGCTCATGTCAATCGCTGGCCCCTCGCCTGAGATAGGCGCATTCCAACGAAAGCAGTTTCGATAGCACTTGTCAGCTGGGGGCGTCCCCTTTCTTTGCCTGCTGTTGCTCCTTTGCTTCGCCATCCTTCATCAATCCACTGCTCTCCTCGTCAAGGCTGGCTATCTTTCCTTGATGGAAGTTCTGCCTTGCCAATCTCCATGCTACGCTCTTGGGTTGACTGCCGTTTTCGACAGAATTCTTGATAGTCTGGACCTTAGCCACAACGGACGCCAATTTGGGAACAACCAACTGCTTGAGCGCCGCTTTTTCAGACTGCCTGACTGTTGTTGTGACGCTCATGTCGGCGCGCCTGCTGATGAAATTCATCTTTGGGATGAGATCCTGCCCATACCGTTTCCGCTGTGTCACAACTCGCGATGCAAGAAGCCTTGCAGGTGTTCCAGAGTTCAGGCATACGCTCACGGAGGAACAAGTGGAAGCTGGCGGCAGGGGTCATGCTCACTTGAGACATACAATATTGCTAACGGCCACAAGCGCAGCACCCTGCAAATGGGGCGCACAGGAAGTGTGCCGCGAATCCAAATCACGTCCTCTGCCACGCTATGATCATAATAGGACGGACCCCACCACATGATCGCAGCTCGGATACCAACTCAGTTCAGCTGGCCCGGACATCGCCCGTGCATACGGACACAATCGTTCTTGGAGGCTTCCGCAGCGCGAATTGCTGGGCAGCTTGTCTCACGCGAAGGTGCCAAATACCTCTAGTTGCATGAACTGCCAACCCAAGCAGAATCCCTACCTTTCTGGAGAAGTCGCTTTCCCCATACGTCGTTGCTTGGTAGCCAAAGGACTTGATCTGGAATCGCTTTCTGATTGGAGGGAAGGCCTTCACTGCAGTTTCGGTGTGCCGGACGTTCTTCAACGCCCAATGTGCATTCAAGACCCGGTCGTACATGAAGGCGAGCAGCGTGAATTCCAGCATGATCTCCTGGTAGTCTTGCCTTACGTGAATGTAATATCGGCGGAGGGTCTCCTCGATACGCACAAGCACGCTATCTATCGGATCCTGCAGATGCAGAGGAGTGCAATGCTGGAGGAGTTGTACCATGATGAAGGCCATTCGCCACAGTGCCCATGACAACTTGTTGGTGGATACAGAGATGCCCGTGGGCAAGAGCCCCAGCGCGTCAGAGGGCGCCATCTTGGGCGCGTCACTGATGCCTGGCATCCAAGGCATGGCGAATGGCAGTGGAAAAGTTTTGGACCACCGGAAAGGGCGAATGTGCTTTGGTGCAACGTGTGGACTTTTTGCCATGGATGATGTGCTGCCTCGCGAATGGGCAGGGCGCACCACGATGGTAGGGTGCGCCGCTGTACACCATCAACGCTGCAGCTGCGAGGTGGGTGGTGCGGGTTCCACTAACATAATCTCAGTTGCATCCTGGTGTCGTTTCCCAACTTGACGTGGTCATCAGGAACTTACGCGTATCGTAAATTACAACGATAATTGCTGGAAAATCTCTTCGTGGCAGTGAAAACGGTTATATGTTATATGATGGTTAGCGGTATGCCTTGAAGCGGCCGCCCATTGGCGCGGGATTGTGGAATGAATGTTGAAGGGTAAGCTTCGCCTCACTGCCTTCTGATGATGGCCTTACCTTTAGATCTGCCTTTGAGCCGGGTGGCAAGTTTCCGTATTCATCCATTTCCTCTTGCAAGGCTATGGCCCGGGCGACAAACAGGCCCTGCGGCGTGGGGGCGTTGAACAAGATGGTCTTCAAGTCATCATGGAAGGCATCGAAGTCCTTCACGCCCTTCTTGCTGTCATCCAACTTGAAATATTTCAACAAAAAAAGCAGCTTGACCTCTGGACTCAGGGTTGGATTGCCAGGATTGCTGTCGTATATTGACTTCAACACCTCCCTTTCTCTGTTGCATCTCTGTCGGGCCTTGAGCTCGTGTTCTTGGAAGCCACCATCGGCACTGGCGCCGCTGAATTTGGTGGTGCCCCTTGACATCATTACCTGAATGCACACTCAGGAGTTACGAGGCACAGCAATATTCACAACGACCGCGCTCTGCCAATGGGTGCTAGCCGCATCGTGGAGAGCGATGGAATCGGTTATTAATTGTAGGCGAGGCAACTAGTTTAGTAATGACGATGACGGGTTCAGGGGATCAAGACATGTGCTGTTGTTTTCAAGAAGCATGATGAAATATGATGCGCCTTCAAATGCAACAGTCTGGATGGAATGTACCCAGTTGATTCACGTTCATGTGCTGTTCGAAGCACCGCAAGAGAACGATCTCGTTGCGCTTTGGTCAGCAAATGCCTGGGACCAGATTGGGACACTTGGAAGTTGGATTGGTGCACTCAAACCTAAGTGCTGGCGATGGCTTTGCGGACCGACCTCAAGGGGAAGAACGTCCTCAGAAGACAAGGCCACTTCTTTGTTGAGGAAGCTGCTGTTGTGGACATTGTGCGCCGCTCTGTATTCCTTGTCTGACCTGAAAGCTCGAGACACATATTCCCCATAAACCGTCACCATCGGGTTGTATGCCATTAGCATTCGAGCTGCCTCCGCCTTCAGCAGGTCTAGCCGAACTCGGTTCTGCTGTTTCCTGCGTTCCAGCTCGGCTGTGCTCTGGAAAGGATTCAACACGCAAGCCATCACTGAGAAGCGCACGCACTCACACAAAGTACGGAATAATGTGGTGAACTGGCGTATGCAGCAAGCTGTGGGCGTATGCTTGAATTCTGTATGATAATTGCGTGTTGCACTTTTTAGAAAAGGCCTTTGTCGGCGACTGTCCTTCAAAATCAAACATACGCCAACAATCAGCGCTGAACAACTGTGCGATGATCCATCGAATGGCTGTTCGTCATCGTCAATTAAACTTCCTGTATTCTGTAGAGTTTGAATGCATTAAGCCGCCATTAATGTCACACTAGTTTGGGGGCAAGGATGATGCGGGCGTAATTGTAGCCTCCTTTCATGAGTTCCCACGTGCGAGGCGCGGATTAGGGCCAGCTCTTGAGTGAGTCTGCCTCAGTGCATTCCCCGTTTCCTACACCCCTACCCCAACCCACCCGCCACCCGCTGTCCACTACGGAAACAAATATGTGAAAATTCCGCGTATCGGACAAACACTGACCGCTTATGGATTGGAGCAAGAGTTTAAATTTGGAGCATACCGCTTTTGAGAATTCTGTTTCCTTCGCATTTTAAACCGGCACTTTGAACTGTCACACCGCATCACGATTGTGGATTCTACAAAGCTGCAGCCATGTCATCCAAAGTCAACCCCATTGTATTGTAACACTGCGTGCATGCATTCAACAGCATGCAATTGATGGTCTTCTTGCTGAATTAAGTTCTATGATAGCTGCCATGCAATTGAAAAGACGGGGATTTGGAGCTGCATCATGACGGCTTCAGAACAATTTTTGAGCTAACACAGGTGCTCTTCAGGTATCGATTAATATGATGCGTGCACTCCGCCAAGGCGCAGGACTATTCACAAGGGCCTGTCATCACCTGCCCACCCATGAGAAGCTTCTTCAGAAGAGTGGCGGTCAGAAGCCCCAGGATTCCAATGCCCACCATCATGAGACCCCCAGTGATGACGCGCGACACCAGGGCCTTGGGCACCATGTCGCCGTATCCCACGGTCGTGATGGTAACGAGCGTGAACCACAGCGTGTTGAGAAACGACTGGAATTCTTCCTGGTTGTTCTGCTCGATGATCTTGATGAAGGAGGCACTGATGAGAAGGATGACCGCCAGCAGAAGAATCAAAAATGTCGTGGGTCTGTTGATCATGATTTCCAGAAACCAATTCTGGTTCGTCATTCTTCTGTAGAATCGCACTACGCGAAATACCTGCATTGCATGGAGTATGTAGTACCTACAGCTGCTGAAGGGATTTCTTTCATTCGCAATTGTCAATTCTGGTGTTTTAGCTTCTGCAAAGCCAACCATCGTGGGAAATCTCACCGCAAGCTTACCACAGTTGTTTTGTGGGATTTTGGATTAGC